AAAAAAAAAAAAAAAATCCAGTAGAACAGAACACTACTGGTCTTTCTTAGAAGGGAAATGTATAAATTAGGGCTACTTACCTCTTGCATTTTCCTCTTCCTTACTATTCTGTCCATACATTAAGTAAGCCACAGGTGATCATGCTAAATTAGGATTGCCTTTATACTTTAGCATGTCAACCATATTATGCAATTCAAAGGTGAGCAGACATTGCTAAAACCACTGAGGAATTTTTTTTTAAATAAATTTTATTTTATCCCATTCCCCCCCATCAAGCCACCTCCTCTCATTTGGGAATGTTTTTAAGGGTGATCAGAAGTATCCAGGGAGGCCAGGAATGGTGGCACACACCTGTAATCTCAGCACTCAGGAGGCTGAGGCAGGAGGATTGCTGCAAGTTCAAGGCCAGCCTGGACCATGTAGTGAATTCAAGGCCAGACGGAAGCACATGGTGTGACCCTGTCTCAAAAAAAAAAAAAAATGAGCAAAAGCAAAATAGGAAAGATTGTGAACTCACCTCTGTAAAATAAATCAACCAAAGCCTCCTGATTTTTTATCTGTTTTATCTTCCTCTTTCAGAGCCTAGTCCTCCAATAGATGAAGTTATCAACACTCCAGGAGTAGTTGATCGGTTTGTGGAATTTCTGAAGAGGAATGAGAATTGTACTTTACAGGTAAACCCCAAGAGTATGTAGTGACCAAATGGAAGTACTTCGTCCAAGAAATTTTTGTTTGTTTGTTTGTTTTTGGTACCAGGGATCGAACTCGGGACCTTGAGCTTATGAGTTCGATCCCCAGTACCAAGAAAAAAAAAGAGAGAGCCAAAATCTCTTCCTTAACCCAGATGCCTCGTGCATCATGGCGTCCCCATGCACTCTGCGGACTTGGCCTACTTCCCAGCACCTGTGAATTCTTGCGGGCTGCAGACAGTTGGTGGCCATATCTTGTTGAAGATTTTGACATCCATGTTCATTAAAGAGATGGGCCTATCTGAAAAACTGGATTTCAGCTTGCCAAAGATTAAAACTAGACCCCTATCTTTAACCATGCACTAAACTAAAATCCAAGTGGATTAAAGATCTAAATTAAGACAGAAACACTAAACTTGCTGGAAGATAATTTAGAACTCTCGAAGACATTGGCATAGGAAAAGACTTTATGAACAAATCCTCAGTACCATGGGAACTAGCACAAAGAATCAACAATGGGGATCTCATCTTATTAAAAAGCTACTGCACTGCAAGAAAAACCACCATCAGAGTTAAGAAACAACCTACAGTGTGGGAAAAAATTTTTACCAGCTGTTCCTCAGACAAAGGTCTACTATCTAGAATAGGGCCAGGGATTTAGCTCAGGGGTTCTGCTGCCTGCCTTACAAGCACAAGGTTCTGAGTTCAATCCCCAGTACCAAAAAAGAAGGAAAGAAAAATGTATTATCTAGAATAAAGAACTCAAAAAATCAGACCCCTTCAAATATAAAGACACAATTCAAAAAGGCATCTGAAATGAACAGATATTTCTTAGACAAAGAAGTAAAACCAGCAAATATATGAAAAAATGTTCAACATCACTGGTCAGTCGAGAGATACAGATGAAAACAATGAGATTCCACCTCACCCCAGAAAGAATGGCTGCTATCAGAAAATCAATAACAAATGCTAGCGGAATTGTGGGGAGAAAGGAACCCTTCTCCATTATTGGTGGCAATGCAGGCTGGTGCAACCACTGTGGAAATCAATATGGAGATACCTCAAACAACTAGGATTAGAGGTGCTATTTGACCCAGCTATCCTCCCTGCTGGGTATCTTCCCAAAAGAATCATACCACAGTGATATATGCATACCCATGTTTATAGCAGCACAGTTTGTAATAGCTAAAACTTGGAAATAGCCAGTTACCCATCAACTGGAGACTGGATAAAGAAGATGTGTTTTTTAATAAAATGGAGTACTACTCAGCCATAAAGAGCCAGAAACTAGAGACATTTTTGGATAAATGGATGCGCACTGAGGTCATACTCTTAAGTGAAATAAATAGAACACACGTGTAAATACCGAATAGTTTCTCTGGTGTGAAAAACTAAAAGTGTAAATAAGTATCAAAATGTATAATTGATAATGTGAAATAGGAAGAAAAGGTCTAAAGGAGTAGGGGAAGTGGGAGGGGTAGGGGAAAGGAAAGAAGGGAAAATAAAAAATATGAGAAAAGGAAAACATGGAAACAAAATCTTTATAAATAGGGAAGCGTGGAGGGGTTGAAGGGAGGGCAGGGGAATAGGGGAAAAATAAGAACCAAGATACATCATGTAAAGGTACAAGATCCCAATGATGAATGTCACTGTATTGTATACCTAAAATGTACCAATAAACTTAATAAAAAAAAAAATCTCAGCAATAACTGAAGTATTGCTTTTGTTAATTAGGTAGTTTTAACTGTTCCATGCTGTGTATATATATTGTACATGATATCGTTCAATGTTATCTGTCTAAACTTTTTTGTGTGTGTAGCTCAGTGGTAGAGCACTTGGCTAGCATCCACAGGCTATAGTTCAATCCCCAGCACTACAAAAAAATTTTTTGTAATGTCGAAGGAAAGATACCAGAATATAACAGGCTGACCATTTCATTATAGAGTCTGTTCCACTTCTTACTATCTGTTTTTACTGAGGGAAATTGTTAGCTTCTCTCAGTCTCTCTTCTCGGAGATGGATGTTAAAGTAAATCTATTTGAACTTGCTAGAAACTCAGCTGACAGGGACTTTAAGAGGCCCATTTCATTCTTTACTTGCTTTAGAAATGAAGAAAGTGAAGCTAGGAAATAAAAAAGTGTCCCATGCTTTCTTTGATAGTGTGGGACTACACCTGGAGTGTTGAAGTCTAATTCCATCTTCCCATTGTGTCACATCACTACTCTTCTCACCATTTTCTACAGGGAGGGGAAAGACTTATGTTTCTTTTGATTAACTGATTTCAGTATTAGGGATTGAACCCAGGGACTTGTATATCCAGGCAAGGACCCTTACCATGGAGCTACATCCCTGGCCTTTCCCCATACTTTTTTTTTGCAGGCAGACTCATTAAATTTTCCTAACTGGCCTCAAACTTGTGGTCCTCCTGCCTCAGCCTCCCAAGTAACTGAGGTTGTAGGCATACATCACCATGCCTAGCTGGTTTTGTTTTTATTTATGGACAGAAAGTTTACTATTTTGCTTTTTATTCTGGTTTGTTTTGTGTTTTGGAGACAGGGTCTGACTGCGTAGTCTAGGCTGGCCTTGAACTTTCAATCCTCTTGCCTTAGCCGCTTGAGTGCTAGGTCACTGGCATGTGCCACCACATCTGGCAGGTTTATTGCTTGAGCCACTAATAGATGTGGCTGCTTAGACTGGATGCCCTCTCAATCATGATTTAATCTCACTTTCAGTTTGAAGCTGCGTGGGCTCTAACAAACATTGCCTCTGGAACCTCTCAACAGACAAGAATTGTTATTGAAGCAGGAGCTGTCCCAATTTTTATAGAGCTGCTTAACTCAGACTTTGAGGATGTACAGGAACAGGTAATGCTCAGATTTGGCTTAATTCTTGATGGTACCAATGGTATAACAAAAAATATATTTGGGGGCCAGGGATTTAGCTCAGTGGTTCCGCCGCCTGCCTTGTAAGCACATGGACCCCGAGTTCAATCCCCAGTACCAAAAAATATATATATATTTGGTCTCTGTCCCAGTTTCTTGGCATGGTGCTCTGAAAGCCCTTGGAGTCTTCTGAGTGGTAAGACTGTCGTTTATTATTTATAGAGCTCCTTGAGTCTGTGTAATGAGATGACCCAAAGAGATCCTCTCAGTAGTTTTCAGAAGGGTTTGGTCATCAGAAAGACCAAATACAGCATTAGAGGGTAGGAATTCTCAGCCAGTAGGAGAAGGGTTATAAAAATTATTTTTAAGGGCCAGGGATTTAGCTCAGTGGTTCTGCCACCTGCCTTGCAAGCGCAAGGACCCGAGTTCAATCTCCAGTACCAAAAAAAAAAAATTTTTTTTTAAATAGAACTTTTGGGGACCGGGGATTTAGCTCAGTGATTTCACCGCCTGCTGCACAAGCACAAGGACCCAAGTTCAATCCCCAGTACTAAAAATAAAAAATAGAACTTTTGGGTTCGTGAGCACATCTATTTGCTGGGAAGGTAGAGGAAGGTGTGGAATTTGTACACTACCATCCCTCCATAGTCTATACCTTCCCCTGTGTCTCTTTTCTATTTGGCTGTTCCTGAGTTGTAGCCTTTATAATAAACTGGGTAAACATGCATTGAGTGTTTTCTTGAGTTTTCTGGGTCATTCCAGTTATCAAATCTGAGAGAATTGTAGGAATCTCCAAATTTACATCTGGTTAGATTTACAGTGGTTGTTGGGACTTGGTATTAGTGTACCAAGTAGGGACAGTCTGTGAGACTGACCTGTGGCATCTGTGCTTTAGTATCAAAATTGAGGGGCTGGGGATTGAGCTCAGTGGCGGTGCACCTCCCTCGAAAGCTCCAGGTCCTGAGTTCAATCCCTGGTACCGGAAAAAAAAAAATTGAATTGAATTATTGGATGTGCAGTTTGTGTCAGAATTAGTTGTTAGTGTGGGTAGATTGAATTCCATACATTTAGTATGAGAAGTGGTGTTAGAAAAGAAACACTGCTGAGCGTGGTGGCATATGCCTCTAATTCCAGCATGGGGAAGGCTGAGGCAGGAGGATCGCCGTGAGTTTAAGCCCAGCCTGAATTACATAGCAAAAGCCTGTCTCAAAAAGTTTTTAAAAAAGGGAAAAGACAGCACAATACTCATTTTTCAGTACTCACAGATCATAGAGATGAAGTTATAATTTCTCTTTACCCCATTGAATTATTGCTGGTTTTACAGAAACGCAGAGTGGTAGTGGGATCATTCCTCCATTTCTATGTATAGAATTGGTCCAAAATGGTTACAAGAATGTAACTTGGTGATTGCTTTCTCCTTTCCTGGGGGAGGGGAGGGATGGCAAGATCTGATTTGATTTCTCTGGCTGTAATACAAATGGCAGGCAGCCTGTCTTCCCCACTGAACCAGGATCTCTCAGGGGAAAGTTCTTATAGAGCAAGTGCTCTTATAAGAATTTCCACAGGGATGTTACCTGAGCTTGTTTAGTGTGTGTTTTGGGTCTTGACATTGCTCTCAGCCTGGTGGGTACTCTGTAGTACTGGACTACAGAATAGTCACAGAAGCTACCAGGCCTTAAGGATGACAGTTTCATCGTCCCCTTTTCAGGCAGTCTGGGCTCTGGGAAACATAGCTGGAGACAGTTCCGTTTGCCGAGATTACGTCTTGAACTGTTCCATCCTTAATCCTTTGTTAACGTGAGTAATTACAATCACTGGCACCTGGGGCATCTATAGGATGGCCATATGATAAGTCATTTGGGGGCAGCTTACTTGATTTGTTAAGATGATAGGTTAAAAAAAAAAAAAAGGTAAATATAAAAACTGCAGAAATGCATTCCAATCACCAAAGTAAAAGATAGCTTTTGAGAGTAAGAATATTGTTCCCCTGGTCTGTGTCAAGGAGGATCTTATTCCTTACCCCATAGTACTATGGAACTTCATGTTGGTCATATCTGTCTTACTGAGCTAAGGAGAAAAGCAGGACAAGTCTGAAAAAAATCCAGCCTTCTCTTTAAAAAGCATTGATATGCTATGAGATTATCCATAGCTACATTCTATTGTAAATCATGAATCAAAGACCTCATGAGAGGTCATCTAGACTCCTCCCATCCTTCCCCTACCCCATAACCTTAGAATAAGCTAAATCTAAAGCAAAAGAGATGAAAATTATTCCATATTGCATGGCTAACACCCTCTCACTAGACTTCAGCTTTTATTTCTAAAGAGAACACTACTCCGTGTCCCCAACTTGTACTTGGAAGCTTTGCATGCTTACTCGAGAGCTAGCCTTCTGTTTTGTCTCTATTAGCTATGGTGTTAACTAGCCACAGTTGGTCCTAATCTCGTGTGCAGAGGTCAGCCAAACTGCTGTATTGATTTAGGTGTATGGGTAGGAAAAACGGGCTTCTAGAGTCTTATGGGTCTTACTGAATTTGTTTCCTGGAATTTGGTGGCAACAGCCCTATGCTAGGGCATCAGTGCACAGGATCTGGCTTTGCTTTTTTCCTTCAGACTCCTTACCAAGTCCACAAGACTGACAATGACACGGAATGCAGTTTGGGCCCTGTCAAACCTTTGCCGAGGGAAGAACCCACCCCCAGAGTTTGCAAAGGTAAGAAAGCTCCCACCCAGCCCCTGCTTGATAGCAGATTCCATCCATCATATAGAATTTTTAAGTTGGATTCTCCTTAGAGCCTCAAGTCATACGAACCTGAAAGAGAGGCAGTTGTCAATGAGAAGATGATTTTTTTTTTTTTTTTGGTGCCAGGGATCGAACTCAGGACCTTGTGCTTTTGAGGCAGGAGGTGGAACCACTGAGCTAAAGCCCCGGCCCGAAGATGATCTTGTATATCCATTGATAAAGTGAACATTTGAAGATTTAATGTAGTAGAGATCCCCAGGATCAAGAATTATTTTTTGGAGAGGTAGTAGCAGTGTTAGGCTTAGTGGTAGAGTTGATGTACCCATGTCCCACTATGAGTCCTTCTCACTCTGCTTCCAACAGGTCTCTCCTTGTTTGCCTGTATTATCTCGCCTACTCTTCAGCAGTGATTCAGACTTGCTGGCAGATGCTTGCTGGGCCCTCTCTTACCTGTCTGATGGCCCCAACGAGAAGATCCAGGCAGTTATAGACTCTGGAGTCTGCCGGAGATTGGTAGAACTTCTCATGTGAGTACAGAGGATAAATGTTCCCTAAGCTTCTCCATGCTCTTGCCAAAGAGCTGCAGCCAGCAGTTTGCTGACTTTCCCAAGGTTTGGAGCCGTGAGAATCTTGTCAGCCTCACTGTTCAACAGGGCTTAACATGGTTGGTATACTGCCCTTCCATTGATCAGATCTTCCTCCTCTGTAGGCACAACGATTACAAAGTGGCTTCTCCTGCTCTGAGAGCTGTGGGTAACATTGTCACTGGGGATGACATCCAGACACAGGTAAGGAAGGGGTGAAGTATCTTAATTCAGACCAGCTATGGGAGAGCATTGTAGAAGGCTGCCAATGGACAAAAACCCTGCCTGATAGGAAGTGCAATAGTCTAGCAGAAAGCATGGGCTTTCATAAAAAATTCCAGCTTTACCTCTCTGTATGATCATGGGCAACTTGGTTCTTGCTACAAACTGGAAACAAATCATCATCCAGTTGGTGCTTATGAAAGAAAACTAAGTAGAATAACTGGAGTTACTGAGACATCATAAGGTAGTTGTTAAATCTGAGTCATGATTCTTTTGAAATACTGAAAGCTATGGAACCCCACACTATATCCTAGACTAGTAACCTAGACCTTTAGGATCCCATGGACATTGCTTCATGCTGATCTCATGTCCTCCCAGACAGACACAGTGGCATAAACTGTGGAGACTGAGACTGAGGCTCTCTTGAGCCTAGAAGTTTGAAATCAGCCTGGGAAACATAGTGAGAGCCAATTTCAAAATTAAGACTAAAAATAAAAATCTCTGTCCAGTGAAGTAAATAGGGTTCTTCTGTTTAAAAGCTATAGAGGGGCTGGGGATTTAGCTCAGTGGTTTAGGCGCCCGCCTCGCAAGCACAAGGTCCCGAGTTCGATCCCTGGTACCAAAAAAAAGTTGGGCCAGGGATTTAGCTCAGTGGTTCTACCGCCTGCCTCACAAGCAGAAGGACTTGAGTTTGATCCCCGGTACCAATAAAAAAAAGTTACCAAATCATTTGCTTGGGCCGGGGATTTAGCTCAGTGGTTCCGCCGCCTGCCCTGCAAGCGCAAGGACCCGAGTTTGATCCCCAGTACCAAAAAATAAAATAAAAAAATAAAAGCTATAAAGATCTGAGTAATCTTCAGATCTTGAATAGTTGGCATAATTCTATGGGATTCTTCACAAATTTCTTACAAGTAAGCAGTCTCTCACTAAAATCCACACCCTCATTTTCTAGAACATTTTATGTGAGTATGTGCATATGTATGCACACATGTACATTAAAATGTAACATAAGTTTGCTGGACGTGGTGGCACACATCTATAATCCCAGCACTCAGGAAGCTGAGGTAGGAGGATTGCCACAAGTTTGAAGCCAGGCTGGACTATATAATGAGTTCAAGATCAGCCTGAACTCCATGGTGAGGCCCTGTCTCAAAATAAATAAGTAAATAACATAAAATTTACCATTTTTAACCATTTCAAAGTGTAAAATTCAATGATATAAGTATTCAGCCATCACCACCATCCATCTACAGGACTTCATTATCTCAGACTGAAACTATACCCATTAAGAAAACCCCTTATTCCCTTTTGCCCCAAGCCCTAGTGATCACCCTTGTATTTTCTGAGTTTGAGTATTGTGGCCACCTCATATAAGTGGAGTCATACAGTATTTGTCCTTTTGCATCTGATTTACTTCACTGAGCATAATACCTTCAAAAGTTCATGTTCTACCATATTTCCCCCAAAATAAGACCAGCTCTTAAATTAATTTTTGCTCCAAAAGATGTAATAGGGCTTATTTTCAGAGGATGTCTTATTTTTTCACATATAACAATTTACATTTATTCATGTATAAAAATTACATTTATTCGAATACAGTCATGTCATCTTCTGGAACATCATCATAACTCTCTAAACTGCGAATTCTGGCCTGAATTTCTTCCAACTCCATTTCCTATAGAACCATTGTCCCCAATCTCTCATGCCCAGCAATAGAGCTGTCCTTAAGTGAGCACTTCTTGTCCATGAAGTCTGCTCATAGTGCATTGACAACATAGCTGCCAGTGATTTTATGCCATGAATTCTTCACCCAAGTCACGATCTCTTTGCAGGCTAGGCTTCACAAAGTTTCCATTAAATCAAGTGTTAGTTGAAGACTAACACAACAAAAATGATGAGTTAAGAATGATAGGGCCCGGGGATTTAGCTCAGTGGTTCTGCCGCCTGCTTCACAAGCGCAAGGTCCCGAGTTTGATCCCCGGCACTAAAAAATTTTTTTTAAAGAGATAAAAAAGAATGATGGTCCATGGCCAGGAATGTAGCCCAGTAGCACAGCACCTCCCTGGCAAGTGCAAGGCCCCGAGGTTGATTCCCAGTACCAAAAAAAAGAATGATGGTCTGCACACAAGTGACAAAAAAATTGCAGGCATCAAAATTCAGAAAACGTTTATTTCACACAAGTGCATTAAGTACCTTTGTTACAGTACATGATGTATTGAATTATGAAGATTCATATTAGACACAACCACATCTGTTATCAAGTGCACACATTATTCATGCATTGTGTCTGTGCTTCAATTGGTCATTTGGCAATAAGTCTCCAATTTACCTTTTTACATAGATGTTTACCTCTTATCCAGAGGCATCTGCTTGACTATTTACAAATACTTAATATATGTTATCATTTATTTTAAATGTTAATGTCAATAATATTACTTATTCATGTGTAATTATATATTAAAATTATAATCCAGTACGTCCATTGTTGTTGCAACAGATGTACTAAATGCGTTGTATGACTATCTTAACTGGGGCTTATTTTGGAGATAGGGCTTATGTTATGAGCATCCTGAAAAAATCATGCTAGAGCTTATTTTCCAGTTAGGTATTATTTTGGGGGAGGTACAGTAGCATGTATCAGAATATCCTTCCTTTTCAAGGCTGAAAAATTCATGTCGATATAGACTAAATTTTTAAATTCATTCATTCATTGCCTGCGGACATTTGGGTTGTTTCTGCCTTTTAATTATTTTAAGTAATGCTACTACTAACATTGTTATACAGTTATTTCTTTAAGTCCGTACTTTTACTTCCTCTGGGTATATAACCAGAAGTGGAATTACTAAATAATAACAATAACAGCCATCTTAATGGGTATGAAGTGATATCACGTTGTATATTTTTATTTCCCTAATGATTAGTGATATTAAGCATCTTTTTATATGTTTATTAACTGTCTTTTTTTTCTTTTGGAACCGAGGATCGAACTTGGGTCCTTTTTTCTTTTTTTGTGTGGTACTGGGAATTGACCCCAGGACCTCACACATGCTGCACAAGTACTCTACTGAGCTAAATTCCAACCCTTTCACTCATTTTTAGTATATGTGCTGCCAAAGCAAGCACATGCTCATTTTTTATATGGGTTTTTTAGGAGCGTGTTTATTGTTTAGTTGTAGGATTTCTTTATATAGTCTAGATATTAATCCCTTATTAGATTTTTTTTTTCTTTTTTGTCAATATGAAGGATTGAACCCAGGGCCTCAAGTGTGCTAGGCAAGCACTCTACCAGTGAGCTACATCCCAAATCCTAGATTTTTGCAAATACTTCCTGTCTTTCCCAGTGTTTTGCACATACTTCCTGTCTTTCTGTTTTACTTCCTGTCTCTTTTACTTTTTCACTATTTATGGTAGCTTGATACACAAACATTTTATTTTGATTAAGTTCCAATATCTAATTTTTCTTTTGTTTCCTGTGCTTTTGTTGTTGTAGGTCATTCTTAACTGTTCAGCCCTCCCTTGCCTCCTCCACTTGTTGAGCAGCTCGAAGGAATCAATTCGAAAGGAAGCTTGCTGGACCATTTCAAACATCACTGCTGGAAACAGGGCTCAAATACAGGTAGAACAGCAAGGAGGCATCAGAACATGAGGGGTTGTTGGATATTTGCTTCCACAGAAAGAATTAGTTTCCTTTTAGAAATTGGGACCAAGGGCTGGGGATTTAGCTCAGTGGCTCAGTGCCTGCCTGGCAAGCACAAGGTCCTGAGTTTGATCACTGTTACCAGAAAGAAAAAAAAAAGAAATTGGGGCCAGAGGGCTGGGGTGTAGCTCAGTGGTAGAGTGCTCACCTAACATGCACAAGGTCCTGGCTTCAATCCCCAACACCATCACCAAAAAATAAATATATATATATGTGCTATTGTTCAGAGATTCTGTTCAGTGGAAGCTGCATTCCTCTATAGCCTGTTAACCTATACAGGAAGAACAAAGGAGAACTCCCAGGTCGGGGAAGATGTCTAAATATTAGCTGATTTTTTAGTTGAATTTGCTTTCACTTCTTGAAATGATTGATTCTCCTTCCCCTCTCCTCAATCCTATCTCAGGCTGTCATAGATGCAAATATTTTCCCTGTGTTGATTGAAATCCTTCAGAAAGCAGAGTTTCGTACAAGGAAAGAAGCAGCCTGGGCCATCACCAATGCCACATCAGGAGGAACCCCTGAGCAGATCAGGTATCACATTCCTTTCCTGTTGACTGGAATGATATGTGTGCTCTCCTTTCTTTGTGGTTTACATAAACTGCTTTTACTTGGATAGGTCTGCCCCCTGGTCCAGCTGCAATAGGACTTAATTGGTAAGCTGTTACAGTGATAGGAGAATCTGGAATAGATTCCTAAAGACCATAATGTGTGATACCTCTCTTCTCTGCCAAAGAATAAAAACCTGTGGCACTGGTATCCATCCCTCCTCTACCTGTTCTTCTTCCTAGCCCCCAAAGAACTGAAATCTATGTAATTCTCAGTTATTCAAACAAATGAAGACCCATGCTCTGGATCCATCAAAGCAGCTTCTTTGAGGTTTTATTTGTTTATCAGTGTTTTGGGTTTTGGGTTTTTTGTTTATTTTTTGAGACAGGGTCTTACTAAGTTGTCCAGACTGATCTTGAACTCACTATGTAGCCTAGGCTGGCCTCAGACTTGCAGTGATTCTCCTGCCTTAGCCTCCCAAGAGCTGAAACTATAGGCATGCACCACCATGCCCAGCTGAGAAATAATTTTTTGGTTTTTTTTTTTGGTACCGGGGATCGAACTCAGGTCCTTGCACTTGTAGGGCAGGTGGCAAAACCACTGAGCTAAATCCCTGGCCCTGAGAAATAATTTTTGAAGATGAGTCTTGTTTTTGTTTTCTTTTTTGGTACTGAGAATTAAACTCAGGACCTCACGCTTGCAGGCAGGCAAATCCCTGGCCCAGAAGATGAGTCTTAAGAGAAGCAAATAGAAAGTTATTATGGGGCCAGGGATTTAGCTCAGTGCTTCCGCCACCTGCCTCGCAAGCCAAGGACCCGAGTTTGATCCCCGTTACCAAAAAAAAAAAGAAAGTTATTGTGTTTGTGTCTGTGTGCACATGATACTTTTTTAAATTTTAATTTCCGTTTTCTGAATCTTAATTGGAGTATTGGGATTTGGATGTCTTGCCCTCTCCTGTGGCCTACTCAGGGAAGTATACTCAGTAGATATAAAACCTAAAAACAAAATGGATAGCCATTGAGTTAAGCATTAAAGAATAAATATAAGATTGTAAAAAACCTTTTTTTTTTTTTTTTGGTACCAGCGATTGAACTCGGGAACTTGTGCTTGCAAGGGCAGGCAGCAGAACCACTGAGCTAAATACCCGGCCCTGTAAAAAAACCTTTTAGACAGAGCAAAGTATAAGTAAAGGTACAATAATAAGAAATCTGGAGACCTGCTGGGGAAGTTATAAATTTCTATAATCTCAGCTACTCAGAAGATTGAAGTAGGTTAATTCCAAGTTTGATCCCAGCTTGAGCGACTTAGACCCTGTCTCAAAATTAAAAAAAAAAAAAGATTGGGGATGTACCTCGGTGATGGAACACTTAACTAGTAAGGATGAGTCCTTGGATTCAATCCCTAATACTGCAAAGAAAGACAGAGCTGGGCAGGTCAGAAGAAATCTTCAGACCTTTACAGATTGGAATGTAATATCCTTAGAAGGGAGTAGAAGGCAGAGGTAGAAAAAGACCTGGGAGCTGGAGTTGTAGAGAATCCATGCAATGAATCCTTGATCTATGAATTGTTCATCCCCGAGGACTGGTTTGAACTGAAATTGGTCAATTGAAGCCTCAGGCTCCTCTGCATATCCTTCAAAGTCTCTTTCCTGTATATAGGCAAATTTCAGTGTCCTTAGAAAGACATTGGCCCAGGATTTCTCAACCTCACACAGGAAAGGGTACTGTAATGTTTCTTTCAGAACTCTTTAAGAGTTAGATCTGTGTCTGAGACCATCTGGGAGCACAAGCAGCTGGCATTTGGGTTGTAACTCAAGATTTTGGTCATAAGTTAAAATTAAAATTCTGGTCGTAACCCAAGTTGTTCATAAATCAGGCCGGTAGTAACTTGACCCATTGTATTATCATCCCTTAGAGCTTAGACTTAGTGAAATAGGGAACCTGTGAAAAATTTTAAACAGGAAAGTGTTCAGAGTGGTAATGTAGCCAGTGCAACTTCAGGGGCTAGAAGAAAGAGTCTGTGGTGAAATAAACTAGAAACATGTGAAATAAACTAGATAGCAAAGGAAGGGTGGAGAGATTGAGGGAAAGAATGGGTGGTTATCAAGACCCAGTAAACCCTGGCCTGGTAGCACACACCTGTCACTCCAGAGCTCAAGGAATGAGGCAGGAGGATCACTGCAAGTTTGGGCTCAGCCTGGGCTACATAGTAAGTTCAAGGCCAACCCTGAATAGTGTGACTCTGTCTCAAAAGACTCGGTAAAAGTAGATTGCTGAAAGTGGTGGCATATGAGGAAGACCCCTAACCAAAATATCTGCCCACCACTTAACTTGCTCTGCATTAAGTTCGAATTTGCCTTGTCTCTGTCCCCCAGGTACCTGGTGTCACTGGGCTGCATCAAACCCCTGTGCGACTTGCTGACTGTAATGGATTCAAAGATTGTACAAGTGGCCCTCAATGGACTAGAGAACATCCTGCGGCTTGGAGAGCAAGAGGGCAAGCGCAGTGGCTCAGGGGTCAATCCCTACTGTGGCCTCATTGAGGAAGCCTATGGTATGTTCTTTCTCCATGACCTCACCTCTGCCTTTAGTGGAGAGATTATAGGTTAGAATCTGGCAGCTGTCTGCCTCCAGAACAGCACATATATGTTTGTGTTAGGTTGTGCGTATGTGTGCTAAAGAACATCCATAGCTTCCATGAGACATAAATCTGTCTCCAAAACCAGTAAAGAACTCCTACACTAGCCAAGTTCTTCCACCCCATAAGAATAACAGGCACATATATATATGATTTGGATGATTTGGGTCATCTTTCAAATCCAGTTTTATACCACCAGTTCTCCCTCTTAGGACCAGTAGGTCAGTTCTCTTTCTAATAGGCTGTACCTAGTAAGGATGATGCAAAAGCAAACACAAAACCCCAAACTGATAATAGTACCAGGAGCTAGAAGGCACATTTCTAGTAGAGTTTCTAGCAAGTTCCCAGAAGAGAGATGGATTGACTCATCACCCATCTCCAAGAGGTGAATGATGATTTTCTCAGATGAAGTTTAAAACAGAATCAGGAGTAGATCTTCTCATTTCTAACTGACATTTTGGTCTTTTTCTTTGGGGATTTTGTATTTTGGGGAAGACATCATGACTCTTCTCTTTCACGTCAAAGAGTGATCTGATCTTACTACTTATGCTTGTAAACACAAACCTATCTTAGGGTAGGAAAAGTACATAAATGTTTCATAGACCCACAGAAAAGTACTCACACACACTTCATTCTACCTCCTAGGTTTGGATAAAATCGAGTTTCTCCAGAGCCATGAGAACCAGGAGATCTACCAGAAGGCCTTTGACCTCATTGAGCACTACTTTGGTGTAGAAGATGATGATAACACCCTGGCTCCTCAAGTAGATGAAACGCAACAGCAGTTCATCTTCCAGCAGCCTGAGGCCCCCATGGAGGGCTTCCAGCTATAATGTCTGCCTCCGGGGAGGGGAGGGGAGGGGATGGGAAGCACCACCAGCCACTGGTAGAGCAGCCTTCTGGTGGGCAGAAAGCCAGCCCCCACCATCACCTGCTGCCCTGCAGACTGTGCTCAGGACCTGCTCCACCCCCTTCCCTGGAGGGAGTGCCCTCTGGACAGACAGAACCATCTGAGGCTCACCTTTGGGTTTTGGGGTTTTCTTCCTTACACTCTATTTTGGCTGCACACATGTCTTTAACCCAGGAGCCCGGGGGTAGACAAAGGAGGACTGAGGTAATCATTTTGCACCTTTCTTTGTTTTGTTTTGTTTTGTTTTGTTTTTCTTTAATGGTGACTTCTTTTCTTTTATCTTCTTTCATCCTTCCCAGTCCTCTGCCCTGATCAATGTAACTCTTATTTTGGGTACATGAGCAGATGGAATATTCCAGAGGTGGGAGGGGAGAGGAGAAATCCAAAACAAAGTGTTCTTGCTTTGATGGAATATTAATCTTGTATGCTTTGATTGAGTTATTTAATTTTTTCTTTTGCACATTTTTCTTGTAAATTAATGTTGCTCTTCCCAAGAGCTGTGAGTTCCTGGTTTTAGGAATCCCAGCTGCCAGCACTGTCTGGGACTAGGGGTGATGGGGAGGCCACTATGAGACAAAGGCCCCTTACTCTCTCTCACCTTTTCCCCAGACCTCTTTAATTTGGAACACACCCTCACTCTCCTGGGCCAAGCACACCCAGTAAGAGGGCAGGGGAGGAGCACAGGCTTTCAGATAGGGCTTCTCATGTGTAGCTACTGACCCCATGTTTCCTACCCACCTTCCAAATGGTGCAACCCAACTTCATTTTTTACTTGAAAATTTCCCTCAGAGTTAATGAACCTCTGAGGTAGCTGTATTTTCTCCTAAGCTCAAGACGGGGCTGTGGTCCCTCCTTCTGAGGAGAAAGTCCTTGCTCTGATGACCCATAAGTTGTAGAGGAAGTTGAAGTGAGACTCCCCAGTGTTGGGATAGTCAGGGATCCCTGCCTTTGGCTTTTCTTCTTCCTCTTCCATAGTTGGATTGTGTATATTTTACTTCCAAAGGAGAGAATGTCAAAACGTTCTGTATTTTTTTATATTCTATATATTAAGTAGGGTAATCTTAATTGATCTTAAGAGGAGGAACTGTCTGTAATTTTTGTGAGTAGAATACTGTGAGGAAGACTAAAAAGATACACGGAACCTTCCCCACTTAGAAGGCCTGAGCTTGGCTCTTTATCTCTGCTTGGATTCTAGGCCATGACCTGGGCCCAACCCTCAGCTCTGCATCCTTTAAGCAGATCAGCCGGCAGGGTCTGTTGTTCCTATAAATGGAGCCGGTAAGGATGGCCTCAGAGCCTGGTGAAATCTGCCTCTCTAGTCCTTCCTACTCAGCATCCTCCTTATATCAGGAAACCCAGAAAGTAGTCTGCATTCCCAAATTCAGTTTCAAAGGCTGTTATCCACATACGTTATCACACACACCTGCCTCTTCTATTACAAAGAAACCTAGCAGCTCTTGTGAGAGCTGTTGGTATCTTCCCTATTTGGGATCCTTGGCCCTGTTTTGGGTTTTCCCTTCCTTATGACAATTATAATCCGGATGCCTTTTCTCCTGACTAAAGCTAGTGCAATGCCCAGTGTCTCACCTATGCTTCTAAGTGGATTACCCATGATAGTAAAGGGAAATAGAGTTGGCCAAAGGTGCCCTGCCCCTGCATCCCCACAGTAATTAGTCAGAGGTGTCCCACTCTTAAGCTATGGCTTTTCTTCCCAAGAAACAATATCACTCTTGCTCCCATTCTTAAGTATTCCCTCTTGGCTCAAGTGAAACCTGTACCCCTTTACTTACAGATCCAAACTTCAAGCTCTTTTTGTTGGCCTTTTGTCTTAAATTTGCCCCCTCCTTCTAGTGTTGAAGTCCCCCTCCAGAGACATTTTCTGAGGAAGATGGCTTAGGGCTAAAAGTTAATAAGAATCACACTACTGTCAGATGCCACTCAAGCACTTAGGAATGATGACTGTGAACCCCTAATTTCCTACGAAGGCAAAGGACAGGATCCTTTTCACTGAACCTGCTATCTCCATTAGAAAACTATTCTCCTTGTTGGGTGTGGTGATGCACGCCTATAGTTCCAGCACTCAGGAGGCTGAGGCAGGAAGATCGCCACAAGTTCAAGGCCAGCCTGAACTACACAACAAGACCTTGTGTTGCTTTAAAAAAAAATTAAAAATTCTCCTACAGTTGAAAGAAAAGTTACTTCCCACCTTCTCCCTCACCACCATTGTCCTTGTCCAAAGGGCAGAGCAGTTTAGTAGAATATACTTTGTACATCTCAAGCAACAGTTAACTCCCTAACACTGGAGCCATATTCTTAGTGTAAGAGACAAATGTCCTCCTTTTCCAACTCCTCCTCCAAAATCTATTTTGGCTTCAGATCTGGATCCTGTACCAGATGGATGACTCATTTTTGGTCATCTAGCTGCTGCTTAAGCCCAGTTTTCTCTAAAGACTTCAAATTCTACTGGGGGCACAATATGAGATTTAAGAGAAAAATAATTTCTACAAGCTTTCCCTTGTGTCTGCCCCAGACTCTTTCCTCTTTATCTTCCTCAAATCCCCTTTCAGTCCACAGGTAAAGTTCTTCCAGCCTACAGAGGCAGTAACCTTTTCTTGTATCTTCTTCTCTTTGGCCACTTTGTGAAGAGCCAATCTATGAAAGACCCTGGCCTAAGTAAGCTCAAAGCCTTTTTGGCAGGTTTCTGGATGGTTATTGCCAGCATGAAAGGACCCCCCTGCCTGCCATACAAAATAACTTGATAAGCTATGTTTTTTGAACCCTTGTATGGTGGAACAGGGTCATATATCCATTTTAAGATCTCTGATGGGGGTGGGGATATCTAGGTGTGGATTAAGAGGACAGGGGGCTTTTTCTTTGCTCACATCTTCAAGTACTGCCAGCTGTTCTCTTTTACCAGCCCCTCTAGGCATTCTTCCCCCAGATCTTCTCTAATACTTACAGGGTGTCTAGTCTTTGAAGCCTGCTTTCAGTTTCAGGCAATCCCCAGTGACCACCTGGCCTTGATGTTGGCTGTAATTTTCTGGTAGAACCACATGGGTTCCACGCTCACTTTGCCAACCTGGTTAGTTGGGTCTGTGGATACAGATGACCCACTGAGGAACAGCTGTTGATAACCCCAGTGATCCCCTTTACCTAGAACCCGTAGGTCTACTTGTTCAACCCTCTTTGCCCTGGTAAGCCATTTTTCTCCCAGGAACTTCTCTCTCTTTCTCTCTCTTTTTCTTAAGCTAAAGCACACAGATCATAGCTGCTGTTGTGGTTAATTGCGGAAAAAAAGAAGACTCCTGGATACAGTCTTTCTCAACCCAAAGGAGTTCAAAAGGAAAACTCTAACAAAATGAAATGCATGTCTATATTCTTAGCGTGCCTGCCTGGGAGGCAGAGGAAAACCAAGCAATACTAACTCCTCATCCCACAGGTTCCCTTTGAAAGGCCCCGTCTCTTGTTCAGGCTTCCTCTCCTCCCCTTTACTCAGTTTGGTATCCAGTGTCTTATGTGTTCCTCAGTAGATTTATGTTATAGGCTCAGATTCTGGATTCTCAGTTAAAGGCAGAGAGCTAGCTCCTCCAGGTCCTTGCAAGCATTCCAGTGACCCAGTAGGGAGGACAGGCTGGCTAGGGGCCTTTCTGGTAGGCTGGGGAAGAATACAAGGCTTAATGCACTGAACCCTAGGAAATGCTTATGACTAGTAGCAGCATCTTACAGGAAGTACTCCCCTAGAAGGTAGTGGAGGTGAGACTGACAGACTGGTCAGAATGGGTTTTCCCTAGCCATTTAGGCTTGCACATTTTAGACCAACCCCATCCAGTGGATCCATGTGGTGGGGACCAGCTGCTTTTGGGCCAAAGCCTTCAAAAATTATTCAGTCAAACCACTGCCCTCTAGCCTCATAGAATATAAGATCTTAGCAAGAAATTGTCAAGGCCAACTATGAATTTTCCTCGAAGAGGGCATTTTGCTTGAGGCCTGGACTCTGCGGGACCAAAGCTGTCTTTGAGAGAAATAGCAGTGTTAATTTGGGGCCCACAACAGCCTAGGAGAAAGATGTGTTTGATTTGTCTTCAAGAGCTTAGGCCTACTTCTGGAGGGCCAGCCTAACTCCTAATACCCATATTAGCCTAAATCTTCTACTATACATTAGTCCTGCTCTCCTGGGTAAGTCTGATTTCAGGCCCTGGATTAGGGAAGAAAACTACTACATCCAGAGGGCTGTGAAGGAAGTCAGAGCTGAGACTGGCTGAGAACCTCTGACCTGTCCTTTAAAAGAAGTCCACATTATGTGACACTTGGACCCTGGAGTTGGATATTGGCTTTTTTAGCCAACTTTTGTAGGAATTGCCTTTTACTGGCCTGTTAAACAAGGGAAGGGGTTATGGGGTCCTAGGCACCCAATAGACAAGATGTCCTCCAAAAATAGCTTGGCTTTCTCCTGAAGATCCTAGGGAGGTGAATCAAATCCTCTTCACTAGTTTTTCTTTCCAAATTCTTTTGCTTTTATTTTTCTAAGAACTGTAAACTCTGGCCATTTTTCATGATCTCAGGGCCCCTGGGTAGACAAAACTTGATGATTTCAGAGCAGACATAGGCCAAGAAAATATGGCATTGAGTGTGCTGAGTCCAGACAATATTTATATACACATCCAAATTTGAAGAGAAAATGTATTTCTTTAGGTTTCAAACACTGTAATAGATAAAAAGCAAAAATAAAAACCTGTTACAAAGTTCTAAATTGCCTTCTTTGGTTTGGAGTGCTCCCAGACTAGATTTTTTTTTAGAAGCAAAAAGGAGAGGGCATTTAATCTTAGCAGGGTATAGATTGCACATCCCTGTAATCCCAGCACTTGGAGACAGAGGGAGGAAGATTGCCACAAGATTGAGGCCAGACTGGGCTACACAGTGAGCTCAAGAGTAGCCTGAAGTACATAATGAGGCCCTATTAAAACAAAACAAAACTTGAAAAGTGAAGATGAGAATTTTACCAACCAGGGTATAGTGGTATGTGTCAGTAGTGCCTCAGGAGGCTGAGGCAGGAGGGCCACAAGTTTCAACTCACTCTGGGCATCTTAGCAAGAACCTGACTCAAAACAGGGCTGGAGTTGGGGCCAGGGATTTAGCTCAGTGGTTCTGCCGCCTGCCTCACAAGCGCAATGTCCCGAGTTCCATCCCAGGTACCAAAAAACGGCTGGAGAGAGCTGGGATTTAGCTTAGCAGTGCTGCCACCTGCCTCGAAAGTGCAAGGTCCTAACTTTGATCCCCAATACCAAAAACAAGGGGCTAGAGATGTAGCTCAGTGTAAAACCCTTGGGTTCAATCCCCCATTACTACAAGATAAAAAGACACCAATTGTTCTTGCTGTAAAGGGTTTTTAAATTGGCTTTATTGAAATTCAGTTGACAGTACAATAAATTGTACAAAGTACAATAAATTGTACAAAGTGTACAATTTGACAGGTTGAAACATATGCATCTATGAGCGCATATATCTCCCATCACCTCCCTAAGTCTCTCCGTACCCTCTTGGGGATCCCCTCCTTCCTGCCCCACTCACAGCAACTACATACTGATCTGTGTTCTGTCATAATAGTTTAGTTTGCACTTTTTAGAGTTTCTCTAAAGGATTTGACCACTCCAGATTCAGTGTCACTCCACAGCGCTTTGAGGCTGCTGAAGTCAAATTGTTCACAAATTCTTCCCCTTCAGTTTACAGCAGAGATTACAGTCAACCAACAGAAAAACTGGTGGAGTCCACAGGAAAGTTTTGGTTACTAGATGGTGTGTTGGAGTTTTTTTTGTTTTGTTTTGTTTTTGGGTTTTGGTACTGGGGATCGAACTCGGGTCCTTGCACTTGCAAGGCAGGCGACAGAACCACTGAGCTAAATCCCTGGCCCTGGAGTTTTGTTTTGAGACAGGGTTTCACTATGTAGTTCAGGGTGGCCTTGAATTCACTATGTATCCCAGGCTGGCCTTGAACTCGAAGCAGTCCTCCTGCCTCAGCCTCCAAGTATTGGAATTACAGGCATGTGCCACCCTGCCTGGCTTGTGTTGAAATGTTTGTTTTGGTAACTGCTGGGGATTAAACCCAGGGCTCTTGCTAGGCAAGTGCTCTACTACTGTTATCTGCTATACTCCTAGCCCAAATATCTTTGATTGTTGTTTTTAGCCCATTTTTAAAAATCAAAAAATAAATCTTCAAAAGTACTATCTGGGGCCCGAGATTTAGCTCAGTGGTTCCAGCGCCTGCCACACAAGCCCAACTTCCCGAGTTCTTCGATCCCCGGTACCAAAAAAAAAGTACTACCTGGCAGTATTGGGCCTGAATTCTGCTCAGCAGCAGCCTGTAAGAGCTGTTCTACCTGTGTTCTGTAAGGAACACCTCCCATGGCCACTGTTTCTCTCCATCTAGCAGGTGCTAGTATAGTGCTATATATTGTATTATTGCAAAAGAAATTTAAGTGCTAGGAATTGAATTCAGGATCTTCAATCTTCATACTTAGCTACATCCCCAGCCTCCTCCCCCCTTTGGACACCATTTCACTAAGTTTCTAAATTGCCCCAGGCTGAGCTCCAACTGGTGATCCTCCTGCTTAACCTCCCAAAGTGCCTATGCTTCTGTCAAACTTTCATATTGCTTGCTGGCCCCTCTAGGCTGCTGTTGACCCTTCCTGCCACACCCTCCACTCCATGCATAGCTTTTTCTTATTAGATTCTTTATCTAAAATGTCCTCTTCCTATGGAAATCCATCAAGGCCTAATTTATATGTTGCCTTTTTGAGAGCTTTTCAATATGCATTTCTGGTTGTAATCAGAGACTTGATTTGAAGAGAACTACATTCCAAACCTTTCTGAGCCTCAAATTTCATCATACTATTATGCCACATTGCTTCTCAAGATTACCTGGTAAGTGTAAATCTTGGTGCTGCCTAGATATTGAAGACTAAACACTGCACTGAAGTCTTTTTAACTGAGTCTTTGGGGTAAAGACATAACATTTTAGCCCTAAACAATGCCCAATTAGCACAACAGTTTATACGCTACCCCCAACTTGATGCTGAGGCTCTAAGACTAGAGCAAGTATTCTTGCAGAGTTGCTGACTTGTAAGCAGACAGTAATCTTAGCATCTTGTTGCTAGTGCTATGATACTTTACAGATCTAAGGAGCTAGGACAGATAGCAGAGTCCTGGGAAGGCTTTTGATACCTAAGGAGGCAAGACTGACACAATACAGACCATCCCACAACCCAGACTGATGCTGAACTCCCATAACACTCTGAAGTCAGCTTTGAGATTTTGTCTTGTGCCACAAAGGCATTTTGGAAAAAAACAACATCCACAAAAACCTGAGAAATCTTGGAAACAGTGAAAGTATATTTGGAACAAAAAAGGCAAAGGGAATGGAGAGGCTGGGAACAGGCAAAAGCCAAAACTAAGTTCAAATTCTAGGTGTGCTATCTTTGGGGTTTATTTTAGCATTATCTATAGGCAACAAGGATGAAGAATTGTGATCTTGTAAAAATTTGGGCCTTTTTTCAACTTTAGCTCAGGTGTAATTGGATCTTTTGTAAAGTGGGTCAAATAATGTTTCATGAATCTGCCTCAGGCCAAGCTCCTCCTCCAAGAAATCCTGAGGAACTGACTGCCAGCTGGTGATGAAGAAGGCAAAAATAATGACAGCAACAACAGTTTTAAGGTCAGACTGAGGCATGATTGAGACGACTGAGGCTGGCAAAGTTCAAGCAACTGGCAAAGAGTTTATTGCCGTCTGGGGGCAAGGGCGAAATGACAATTGGCACTGAGAGGAGGGTGTGCACAGTTGTTATAGGAGAGTTTAGGTAGGGGAGGGGGCACTTGTCAAGAGGGTAGAAAATTTTGTCCTGGAGTGTAGGAAGTGATCTGTTCTGGCCCTGAGGAAGTCTGGTGGTCTCCAGGGGTATCTGGACCTGCAGATGTTGCTGTGTGGGGCAGGCTGCTTATCTCAAACCCAGGCCTTAGCTTCCTGTTATCCTTTGTGCCTTGCAACTGCATTGCCTGGAAAGTTTTTCTCTTTTGCCTGCTCTGGGGTCTGACATTAATAATGTATTTTCACAGTCTCTGCCTTAAGCAAAGACCATGATAGTTATTACTGTGTTAACTACCAGTTAACTACCAGAGTAAATATTTTTTCTGGGTAAAAGGCAGGTTAGCAAGTAGGATGTGTGCTGTCAGATGTCCTGATTTTACTACCTGCTTTTGACTACTCAGTGTCGATGTGACTTTGCACAAGTTATCTAATCTTTCCCTTAATGCCCTCTTCCCTAAAGCAGGAACCATTTATGTACAAATAGTATGCATGTCAAGTAACTGGGATAAATCTACTAGATACCAGGAAAACACACAATAAGTGCTCAAGTAATTATTATAAAACGTCCAGTGGAATAAGGGAGTGAAAAAAGAATACCCAATCACACAGCAATTTAGTGATTCAATTAAGACTTGAATATACACCTCCCCTGATTCCCAACCTAGGGCTATTTCTTCTTCAGTTTCTAGATGTTCATAGCAAGGAAAGGTTTTGATCGAGGCCTGCAGGAAGAGACAGGCACAAGAGTTTGGGGGTCGGATCGTAGTTTCTGTACAGTATGAGACTGACGCAGCTATCGTGAAGTACTGGCTCCTTTTGGAGCTCCACGCCATCTGGTTCCTAGGAGGAAAGCCCTTTCTATTGCATCTTGGGAATTTTGGTAGGCCGCGATGCATGTAGGGACAGTAGTCCTTTCCCTCCCTCGCCTCGAAAGCCGCCTTCGCGCCATCTTTCCCAGTAAGCTCCGCGATAGCCCCGACCGCTGATTGGCTGCGCCGGGAGCAGGCTGACCAGCCGGCAGCGGTTCCTGGGGTTTCCGGTACGAAGCCAGAGCGGGGGACGCTGTCGGAGCACGGCGGTGAGGTGCGGAAAGCGGCGCGGGTGGCACAAGACAATACGAGAATCTCTGAACCAGGACGCATCTGCAAAAGTGGGGGATCACGCCGGTTCCGCGCGTGGGCTGTGGCGGAGCCGGCGCATTGCGCATGCGCCGGAGTGCCGCGCGGCTAGAGGTTGCTCGGAGTGTGGGTGGCTGCGCGTGGTAGGGCCCACGTGGGACGGGGGGAGGCGGGGAAGGGTCGGGACGGGTAGGGAGGGGTAGGGACTCTAGCGTCCTTCCACGTCAGTCCACCTCCGGAAGCCAATCCCGCGCTCTGCCTGCCGTGAGGGAGCCATGTAGTGCCGGGAAGTGGCTTCGGGAGAAAAAAGGCCTTTTCTACCCTTTCCAGGAGCGGTTCCCCAAAGCCTGCCAAGGCACGCCAGGGTTCCCTGACTACCCAGAGATTGAGTACCACTGGGTTCCTCCAGTGAAGGCCGGCTAGTTTGTTTCAAGAAGCTTTGTGTTCCTGGTGTTGGGATTTCGGATTCAGGCAGTGAAGAATTTTGAAGTCGAAAATAGCAGCTATACACGTTCTTAAGGATCTGCTCCAAACCTAGCAGTGCATATCACAATGAAGAACCAAGACAAAAAGAACGGAGCTGCCAAACAGTCCAACCCCAAAAATAGCCTGGGGCAGCCGGAAACCGGAACAGAAGGAGTCCACGGGAGGCCCAGCCAGTCCCCTCCGACAGAAGCTGAAGGTTCTGCCAGCCAAGCTCCTGGGAGAACGGAGGGTGTGTGCCAGCTCTGCTTTTCCAGCGGGTAGGGGGAGGAGTTTGTGGTACCGGCTTCACTTCTGAAGTTAAGAGACTGAGGCTACTGTTAACCCAGGAAGAAGGAAATGAAGAATGAGTAGAGACACTGCCCAGCCTGGGGAGGTGGCAGGGCCTCCCACTCAGCCCTAGAACAGACTGGGAGCAGGTTCTGACAGGATTAAATCAGGTGACAGTCAAAGGAGACTCCCCCATCAGCAAAACTCTGACCCATCAGAAACACCTCAGTTACAGTAGGTAATTACCCTTCATATATTTGAGGCATTGCTGGATCTGTTTGAATAGCAAGAAATGGCTTTTGAGAGGAAGGATACAGACTAGAAATTGAGCTGCTACATACCAGCCCTATATCACTAAAGCTAATAGGGTTTATGTATTTGACTTATTTATAGCCCTGACATATTTGAGTGTTAGTAAGAAATAGTTGTATCATTTTATAAGTAAATAAATTGAGGCTCAAATAAGTTAGGCAACATTTAACCCAGACTAGGGAGTTGGCTAGGCCCGCAAAGATCCCAACCAGTGGTATAACCATCTTATTTCTCACTCTACTCTTATTTCTCATTTCTTGCTGTAGGGGCTCAAGCCAAAACATCTCAGTCTGGGGCCCTCCGTGATGTCTCTGAGGAGCTGAGCCGCCAGTTGGAAGACATACTAAGTACATACTGTGTGGACAACAATCAGGGTGGTCCAGGTGAGGATGGAGCACAGGGTGAGCCTACTGAACCCGAAGATGCAGAGAAGTCCCGGACCTATGCGGCAAGGAATGGGGAGCCTGAGCCAGGGACCCCAGCAGTTAATGGCGAGAAGGAGACCTCCAAGGGGGAGCCAGGCACAGAAGAGATCCGGGCGAGTGATGAGGTCGGAGATCGGGACCACCGAAGGCCACAGGAGAAGAAGAAAGCCAAGGGTCTGGGTGAGAGAGGGCAGCTACTTATAAAGCTGGTGAAGGGAGGGAGTTTGGACCTGTCATTCCATGGGCTAGCCTGTTCTGCCAGGATTCAGAGGAAACCACTTGGAGAGAGCCAGTCTCCCTAGTTTGATCAAAGCCAGGGATGCATGATCACAGCATAGAGGTGTACTGTGCCAGGCCTCCTGACCTTTTGAGCAGGTAGGGGCTGAAATTCAACCTGTCCTCTTTTTGAGAAGATGCAGAACGGGGAGTCTACATATAGACCCTTTCCCAATTAGCACCACTTCTGCTGTGTAATGTTGGACATGGCCTTTCCCAGTCTGGGTCTTAGTTCCCACTCATCTTCACTAAGAGAACTGGACTAAATCACATTCCAAACTCAAATATCTACATAAGCCAGACTATGCTGGGGACTTCATAAGGACCAAGAGAGTTCCTGCTTCATCCAGAGGGTTGATTGTCACTTGGTTAGTTCCATGTTTTCAACTGAATGCATGCTCTCAACTGACTAGTTGAACAATTGGCAACTAAAATGGTTAAGAGCTGGGCCGGGGATTTAGCTCAGTGGTTTCTGCGCCTGTTGTGCAAGCGCAAGGACCCGAGTTCAATCCCCAGTACCAAAAAAATAAAAAATAAAATGTTTAAGAGCCAAAAATGGGGCCCCCTCAGGGTAACTAGATGCAAGGATCCCTAACTCCAGAACAGGCAGTGAGGAAAAAGCAGTGACTCATTCAGCAGTGGGTATGTGGATGAATTTAAGAATCTAGGTTAGGTGACAGTACACCCAGGTTGTTGTCCACCACCCCTTACTGGTTCTGATTTAAAGAGGGACTTTTTTTTAAATCTAGGATCACATATATGGAAGGAATATTCTTTTTTTTCTTTTTTTTTTTTTGGTACCGGGAATTGAACTTGGGTCCTTGCACTTGTGCAAAACCACTGACCTAAATCCCCGGCCCAGGAATATTCATTTTTAAAGTTCACTGTTTGGCTATGTCTATTGACAGGAGTTTAGTTAACTTCTTAAGGAGGCCAAGAGACCTGTTCTTTTTTGGATCCCACCTTCAAGGACCTTCTTTGCATTAAAACAGTAGCTCCAGAGTCACACATGGGGTACCTTCTATCAGTTGGTAAAGCAGGCAGTTTTTTCCTCCTACCAGTGGTGCCCACCAAGATTACACAAGAATTTCACCTTCATTTGATAGACAGTTAATGAGCATGTACTCCATGGTAACATTAGGACAGAACTGGTTTGAGTTGGTCCCAACTCTCCTAACACCCAGCCTCACAGGGAAGGCAGCCAGTTCAACAAGCAAAATAGTATGATAAGAAAGGCCTGGCCTGCGCGTGGTGGTACACGCCTGTAATCCCAGCATTCTGGAGGTTGAGGCAGAATGATCGCAAGGAGCTCAAGGCCAGCCTGGACTACATAATGAATTCAAGGTCAGCCTGAGCTACATAGCAAGACTCTTGTCTCACAAAAAAAAAAAAAAATGCCTCAGTGCTCATGGAGGTAGACGGCGCCCCCCACCACCACCACCACTAGAAGAGGATGCATGCCTTTGTTCCCTGTGCTTTACAGGGAAGGAGATCACGTTGCTGATGCAGACACTGAACACGCTGAGTACCCCAGAGGAGAAATTGGCAGCGTTGTGCAAGAAGTATGCTGAACTGGTCAGTTTGCCCCTTCTCCTTCTGCTCTCCCTGCCTTTGGAAAGTCATCAGGCTTCCTGATCTGGGGGTGGGGATGCAGAGGCAGGTGGCTGGCTTAATTTCTATTCAACCTTGTAAAATTTTTATTGTTTTTTTTTTTTTTTATATATGTTTAGTATATAATGTTTACATTTGCTGGGGATTTAGCTCAGTGGTTTCGCCACCTGCTGTGCAAGCACAAGGACCCAAGTTTGATCCCTGGTACAAAAAAAAAAAAGATAATATAATGTTTACATTCACCTTAGGGAGTAGACACATGTGCTTAATATATCTTAAATCTTTACAATTCCCTTCCCTCCTTCCTCCCTGTCTCTAGATCCCCTTTCTACATTTTCATTTCTTTAGTTTTTTTGTCATGTTTTGTTTTGTTTTTTAGTTTATGTTTGCAATACATAATGATTGCACTCATTGTGAGTAGTTGGCACATGTACCCAACGCATCTTAGTTTTTTCCATGTCCCCATCCCCCTCCCCATTCATTATCTCTTTGAACCTTTCCCCTATTTGTTAAGTGGGGAGTCATTTCTCAATCCACTTCAGGGCTGACATTAAGAGGGAAAACTTCAAGGGCCTGGAATTTAGCTCAGTGGTGCTGCGCTTGCCTCACGCAAGGTCCTGAGTTCAATCCCCGGTACAGCAAAAAAAAAAAAAAAAAGAGGGAAAACTTCACCTATAATCCCAGCACACGGGGAGGCTGAGGCAGGAGGATCACCACAAGTTCAAGGCCTGCCTGGGCTACATAGTTCAGAGCCACCCTGAACTACAACGGGAGACCCTGCCTCAAACCCCCCCAAAAAGTGGGGGGGCTTGACTTTCCTTAAAAGAAATTTCTCAAAGAATAATTCCCAGGTAATAGAGCTCTAGCTCCTGGCCTGAATCCCAGATACCATGTCATGTTGCTCTTACATGCTTCTGTATACATCTTCCTGAAATACAGAGATTCACTGTGCTGTTACCACATTTAAAATTAACAGTAGTGGGCCGGGGATTTAGCTCAGTGGTTTCGCCGCCTGCCATGCAAGCACAAGGACCCAAGTTTGATCCCCGGTACCAAAAAAAAAATAAAAATAAAATAAAATTAACAGTAGTTATTTGGTATACATTTTCCTTTTACTCTTGAGCAGTTCTTCATTTCATTGTCTTCCCTTTTTTCCCCCATAAGATTGACTTACTGCAGAACCAGATTAGTTGTCCTGTATGATGCCTCACCTCTATGCTTTGTTGATTGTCCCTTTATCTCCTTAGTTCCTTTTAAGTGGAACCTAGCTGTAGGAGCTTGATCCAGTTCACATTCAGTTTTTTATGTTTGTTTGGTTTTTTGTTTTTGTGATAGAGTACTAGGGATTTACCCCAAGGGCTACATACCCAGGCCTCCTTTTTATTTTTATTTTGAGACAGAGTCTTGCTAAATTGCTCAGGCTGAGTTTGAACTTGGAATCCTCCTACCTCATACTCCCAGAGTACTGGGATTATGGGCATATACCACGCCTGGCTCAGGTTCAACTTTTGTGACAAGAATTCTTTTTAGGTATTACTTTATGCTTCTTGTTGCATCAGAAGAAATACAAGTGTAGTCTAACCAACTTTAAGTGTTATAAATGTTGAGTGGATCAAAGAGGTGAAGGCAGGAGGAGCCAGGTTCCTCTTTTATCAGGCGCCTAATAGAATTTTGAGTGAAGTTTCATTCATTGATGGCCATTACCTATTTATTTTAAAATTATTTCATCCCAAGAAAATTTCTTAGCCACATTCTGTAAGGAAATTATTTGTAAATTGGGGGGAGTCATACCTGCTTAATGGGATTATTTTAAGAAATAAAAAGAAAGTAACCTCCATTTAGAATGGCCTGACCAGAGGATTGCTGATGCAAAAGAAGAGAAAGTGAGTTGCTGGAATGATGTTCTGTGTAAAGGAGGGGAGCTGAGGCTCAATGCACAGGAGAGGGCTTGGCCTTTGTGCTAGTGGATAGGGAGCTTGTGTCACCACTGCTCTAGTATCTTTTGTGTTCCCAGGGAAATGAGAAAGATGACTGTGGCTGGTTTAGGGAAAACTTGAAGGGGAGTACAAAACAGTTGTCTGGAAGAAGAGTGTGAGTAGCATGAGAATGATTCTTCAAACAGGATTGATTGTGTCAGTGCTGGTACAGAGTGAGCAGAAAGGTTCTTTACCAAGGTTGAGAAAGGATAAGGGAGTAGAAGGGTATAAGAAGGTAAGCGATGTGCTGGGGATTTAGCTCAGAGGTTTCACTGCCTGCTGTGCAAGCACAAGGAGACCCAAGTTCGATCCCTGGTACCAAAAAAAAAAGAAGGTAAGCGATTATTTAAAAGAAGGTTGAAGGCAAGTAAAGGTTGGTTGGGTCAGTAGCCTGTGATGCTAGCTCAGGAGGCTGATGTAGTTCAGTGGAAAAGGCCCTAGATTCAATCCCTGGTATAAAAAAAAGAAAAAGATGAATTTCATCTATTCGTTTTTCCTTTTTTTTGTGGTACTGGGGATTGAACTCGGGACCTTGTGCTTCCTAGGCAGGCGGTGGAACCACTGAGCTAAATCCCCAGCCCTGTTTTTCCTTTTTTTAGTGTAGCCACTGAAAGATTTTAAATTACGGATGTGGGCAGCATATTATTTTTACTGTCCAGGGTAGGTAAGATCATAGGAGGGAAGCCAAGTTGGAGAAAAGAAATAGGTTTGTGTAAGACGTTAAGGACTGAGGACAGAGAGTCAGGATTGTCCATCAGTATTAAGATAGCCAAGAATAAGCTGGACATGGTGGTGTACTCCTATAATCCCAGCACTTGAGAGGCTGGGGTAGGAGGATCGCCACAAGTTCAAGGCCATCCTGGGCTACATAGCAAGACCCTGTCTCAAATACATACATGCATATATGCATACATACCCAAGAATGAGAATATGAATCATGATAGAGAAATCAATGGTGAACCACAGCTGAAGTATGGAAGAGATGTAAGGGAATGACCAGATCTGAATAGCCCCAAGCTGGATGGCAGGTAGCTTATCCTGATCTATGAGTGACTAGCAGTGGGGCCATGTGGTGGTCAGACATGGCCAGAAAGTCCTGTCTCTCGGCTCAGAGTTGGGATAGAAAGTGTAATCTACTGGCTGTGTTACCCTGCTGGTCCTAGTGAGTGTCCCTACCCATATCTCTGCCATGGGCCCTTGGGTTAGCAAGAGGAATTTCCGGTAGGAGTGCATAACACACTAGCACAGTCTGCTTGTGAGAGTACATCAGGCCTGGGCTGCTTCAGCTGGAGTCAAGGCAAAGGCCAATGCTCAGCTCAGCTCTACAGTCCCTAGAGCCGCATAGGATCCCCATGGGGGCCTCCCAAGCACTCACTGCCCTCCCTGTTTCCAGCTGGAGGAGCACCGGACTTCACAGAAACAGATGAAACTCCTGCAGAAGAAACAGAGCCAGCTGGTACAGGAGAAGGACCACCTTCGTGGAGAGCACAGCAAGGCTATCCTGGCCCGCAGCAAGCTTGAGAGCCTGTGCCGTGAGCTGCAGCGACACAACCGCTCCCTCAAGGTAGGCCCAGGGCCAGGAGCGGCTCTGGATTCCTGGCACATCGCTGTTCTTTGCAGTATAGAAATAAATTCCCAAGTAATGCCCTAACTTGGAGAGGACTAGAGTAACCTTTGACATGGTCTTGTATTAGATAAGGTAAAAATGAAGGTGCTGAAAGAATAAAAAAGAATTAAAAAGTGCTGGGGATGTATCTCAGTGTGAAGGCCCTGGGTTCAGTCTCCAATACTGCTAAATAAATATCCAAACTATAGTAACCAGTAAGCAGATATCTAGTCCTTGTCCCAGAGGTTAGTCAGGAACCTGGATTCTTCACCTGTTGTGCTTCTCTCAAGCTGAGGTCAGTCTGTTGTTAAAGCCATGATTTCCAGATGGTTTTTCATGCAAATATCCTCACAGATTTGCATATTTCATATATTTGGATCTGTGAACATACATATTTTGTTTTGCTTATTTTTAGTTCATGTTTATCTTTGAAAATATTATAAGTGGTATAAATTAGTCTTAAAGGTTTTTAAACAAAATTATACATGTACTGTTTATATCCTATTCCTTTTTCTCTTACTCTAATACCTTATCTTTTCATTTCATATAAGGCTGTCTCGGTCTTTCTAACATCATTATTGGATCAATATGCTGTATTTTCTTAGTGTCCTAATTTAGGGTTGTTCGCAAGTTTTCACTATTACATATAGATCTGCAGTAAAAATTCTTGCTATATATCTCCCTGGCCTGTTTATCTGTAGGATAAATCTTAGAAATCAAAGGACATGTCAAAGAGTATGCAAATTCTAAGTATTAATAGGTTTTTCCAGATTGCCTTTCAGGGAGTACCCTTGTCAACAGTGTCTAATTGCCTAATTTTGCACAACCGTGGGTATTACTAAATTTTAGCAACCTGGTCTGTGGGGAGAAACAATACAAAAGCACATCAGAGGGCCTGGGATTTAGCTCACTGGTTCCGCTGCCTGCTTTGGCAGTGCAAGGTCCTGAGTTCGATCCCTGGTACCAAAAAAAAACAACAACAACAATGCATCAGAGCAGGAATACTTAATCTGAAATCTGGAAGAATAGACTTCATAGCTGGGGATTTAGCTCAGTGGTTTCGCTGCCTGCTGCATAAGCGCAAAGACCCGAGTTCGATCCCTGGTACAAAACAAAACAAAACAAAAAAGAATGGACTTCACAAAATCCAAGATGCTTCAGAACGGCACTTAACATATGTGCCTGCATTTTTCTAGGGAGAGAATCTCACAGTATGTCACCTGATTTACAGAGGGTTACCTTAGGAAGCCCCATTGCATGACATCCTGGAGCCTAGCTCCTTCTCACTTTGGGAGCAGAGAGGGCTGTTGGCAGAGATCACCTGGGGACTAGTTGAGGGAGCCTTGTGCAGCTGACTGGGGAGCAGTGGATGATGGTGCTGGGGCCGGCTTCTCTGCCCAGGAAGAAGGCGTACAGCGGGCCCGGGAGGAGGAGGAGAAGCGCAAGGAGGTGACCTCGCACTTCCAGGTGACACTGAATGACATTCAGCTGCAGATGGAACAGCATAATGAACGCAATTCCAAGCTGCGCCAAGAGAATATGGAGTTGGCTGAGAGGCTCAAGAAGCTGATCGAGCAATATGAGCTGCGTGAGGAGGTAATGTTGTTGCATACCAGGGTCATGACCAGCAGATTGTGAGACTTTGGGTGTGTGCTGGGCACCTGGAGAGCACTCTCTTGGCTTCATCCTATTCCTTCTCCTTCCTTGAGCAGAGACTAATACTATTCCTCATAGATGAGGAACTAAGGTGTGGAGAAGAAACTCATCTAGAGCCACACAGTCAACAGTGCCTTGTCCCAAATAACTGGGCCAGCTGTCTGTTGGAATTAGAATTGTCCAAATTTTCTAATGGTGATATGTACACATACTGTGTATTACGTGGCATCCCCAGCAAGGCCTTGGGACAGCACCTCCAAATGAGACACAATATTGGGCTGGATACTCACCTATATTATAGATAGCTTCACCATGGTGCCCAGCATGGTAAGGCACACCTATAGTCCCAGGTACTCAGGATTGAAAGATTGAAGCCAGATTGGGCAAATTAGCAAGGCTCTGTCTCAAAAAAAAATTTTTTTAAGGGCTGGGAATGTAGCTCAGTGGTACAGCACTTCTCTAGCATGGTTCAATTGCCAGTACCATTTTTTTTTTTTCCTAGTATCAGGAATTGAACTCAGGACCTTGTGCTTTTGAGGCAGGCATGGTACCCCTGAGCTAAATCCCCCGCCCGCCAGTACCATTTTTAAAAAAATAATTTAAAGTTACAGAGGAGCTAAACCTGTGTTCACTGATAGACTCCAGGGCTGTCCACTGATTTGCTGGCTGCTCCTACACTTGGAAGAACAGGGTGTCAACGCCTTGGCTAGCATTGGCTGCTAACCCAGGCACTTGAACCTTTGAGTCCCCTACACTAGTCACCTGGATGTTCTGGACCTCTGTTTCTCCGTCATGAGAAGGGATACCTACAAGTACCTTTACAGGGGTGACAGACAACCCACTGTAACCAGGTCTTTTCCTAGGATCAAGGTGAGATGGGCAAGACCCACCCTCTTGAGCTCAGATCATTATGGAGATCATATGTGTGCAGGGCCTAGAGGGGATTCCCTGACCGCCATTCTTGTGCACCCTTTGGGAACAAAGTTGCCTGTGATAAATTTGGTTTGAGAAGAATTGGTCTGGTTCTTGTCTCAGCACAGAGACAGGAAGACTTTCTGGGCCACTAGACTGAGACACTAATTTTAAGAATCTAAAGGCTTCCTTCCCTTTCCCCTTCCCCTTCCTTTTCCTTTCCTTTTTTTTTTTTTTTTTTTATACCAGGGATCGAACTTCGGTCCTTGTGGTTGCAAGGCAGACGGCAGAACCACTGAGCTAAATCCCTGGCCTCCCTCTCTTCCCTTTCCCTTTCCCTTTCCCTTCTTTCCCTTCTTTCACTTTGCCTTTCCCTTCCCTCTCCTCCTTCCCCTTCCCCTTCCCTGAAATCAGAAAGGACATGGTGCTACCTGTGGAGGAGAAGGACATATGGATCTACTACTAGGCCCTGTGGTTTCTTGTTTATAGTCCTCAGACAGGTTCAAATGCTACCACCTGCTGCCTCTGAGCCTCTGAACTTTAGATCACAGGTGACTGGACCTATCTTCAAGACACCTTCCCTTCTCCATCCAAAAAAGAAATCAGATTCCCTTATTTATTTCCATATTTAATTAAGTTCAGGGGACTTTGTCTTTAAGTAGCACTTCAGTCCATCACCTTGTCCATCCTTCTGTCTCATCTGGTCTATGTCCCCAGTGCTCCTCCAGTAGCCAAGACAGCCATTTCTAGGGATGTCCATGTCAAATCTTCACTTATAGATAGGTATAACAAATCTCTTGCCAAATAAGCTAGGCTGTTTGTGGGAATGTTTTTTGTTGGGTTTTTTTTGGTACCGGGGATCGAACTTGGGTCCTTGCACTTGCGCAGCAGGTAGCGAAACCACTGAGCTAAATCCCCACCCCTTGTGGGAATGTTTTTGCCTCTTCTCACTTAGAGGGGGAGCTGGGCTATAAAAGTAAAGAATGCCAGCTCCATGAGGTGGTTAGTCTCTGGACCAGAGGTTTGAGTGTGTTTATTGCTTGGCTTCCTGGAAGCTAATTCCATCCATATATCCTGGTACTTATCCAGGTCTGATTCACTGGGAGAAAAAACACCCGAGATTGAAAAGTTGACCTACTGGGGACATAGGATCCACATCGTGTGGCACATGTAGAAGTCTGGCATATCAGATCAAGATGGGCTGGGTGAGGTGTCCTGGTCTCTGCAGTTGGAACCTCCCTACAGTACAAGGCCTCCCTGAGAAAGGGAGCTCCTCACAAACAAACCCTTCCTACCATCTTTCCTGCAGCATATTGACAAAGTCTTCAAACACAAGGATTTACAGCAGCAGCTGGTGGATGCCAAGCTCCAGCAGGCCCAGGAGATGCTGAAGGAGGCAGAGGAGCGGCACCAGCGCGAGAAGGACTTTGTGAGGCTCAGGCCCCAGGGCTCGGGTTGGGGTGTGAGAATGTGGGCTGGGTTCTCCCTTAGCTTCGGGTTGAGTTTGTATGGATGAAATGATTACTGCCTGGCCTGTCCAGTCACTGCTTTCCAGACAGCAGTCTAAGACCAGGCAGCATAAATGGGTCCAGTGCTTATGGCTAAAGAGCACCAAACATAGCCCCTGGGGGCTTCTGACAGTCTGGGGTCATGTCTTGAAAATAGCTCCTGAAAGAGGCAGTGGAATCTCAGAGGATGTGTGAGCTGATGAAGCAGCAGGAGACCCACTTGAAACAGCAGGTAAGTTGGTATGGAACTGACCCTGGGCCTCCCAAGTTTCCATCACTTGGGCCTCATTCTGAGGGATAAAAAATTTTAGGTTATGTTCTTCCAAATACATGTTTTTCTTGGCAGGAGTAGTGGTCCATGCCTGTAATCCCAGCCCTTGGGAGGCTGAGGCAGGAGGATTGCCAGGCGTTGGAGGCCTGCTTGGGCTCCATAGTGAGTTCAAGGCCAGCCTGGACTGCATGGCGAGACCCTGTCTCCAAAAAAAAATTTTTTTCTTCTGGAAAGTGGTATCTCCATGGAATTGTTATGTCAGAAGGCCAAGGAAAGGTCAGGGTATTCACCAGAGAAGTGCCTGAAGGCCAGTCTTACCTGTGTACTTCTGTCTACCACAGCTCGCCCTATACACAGAGAAGTTTGAAGAGTTCCAGAACACACTTTCCAAAAGCAGCGAGGTATTCACCACATTCAAACAGGAGATGGAAAAGGTACTGATGATCTAAGCTGGGTATGGCTGCTGGAGCACATTCAGAATTGAATATGGGGTCAGCCTTAAGAAGGCCCCACCCCAAGATGCCTCACAGGGAGTTGTTCACAGAAACTGTGGTTGCTATCAAAAAGGAACTATTAAGAGAAAGCACAGCCTTTTCCCCTGGATAAGGGGTAGTCTTGTCATTTCTTGTTGGCATGGAGCTTTCTTTTGGTGTTGGGAGTCAAAGCCAAGGCCTTTGGATGCTAAGCACATACCCTGCTGCTGAGCTCCACCCCCAGCTCAAGTGGTGGACATTTAACTTGAGACTTCCCAGTGCCAGAGTTGTACAGATGTGATTATTCCCTGCTTTGGAGACACAGATGCATGGGCAGCTCAGCTCTGACCATTTCCTTCCATCTACCATGTAACCTAGATGACTAAGAAGATCAAGAAACTGGAAAAAGAAACCACCATGTATAGGTCCCGGTGGGAGAGCAGCAACAAGGCCTTACTTGAGATGGCTGAGGAGGTAGGTAGAAAGTGATGAGCCCAGAGGCCAGGAGAGCACCGATATGGTGTATCAGGCCCTTTCTCCGACCTAATAGTGATGTTGCTTGCATGAAGTGCACCTAGGATGCTCATGCATGTGTGTCCAGCTCCAGAGGCAGTGCCAGCTCCCCGCACATGGGAGGTGCCAAACCCCATGGTTGTCTGCATGAAACCAAAGGGACAAAATGGAAGACAAGGCTGAAGGAGCAGAAAAAACTGGAGTGCTGATGGTGCTTCAGCTTTGCTTACAGAGCAACCCAATAATTTGTCATTTTGTGGCTTGTGATTTAAAAGAAAGACCCTGATGGAGTAACAGCTACAAGCCCAGGCTTTAGATATGTTTTAGATAATGCTGGTTCAGTGGTCCTTCTCTTGAGACTTGTTGTTGGTGTTAGTAATCCCATTTTACAGATAAGATAGACTCAAAAGCCCCATGCTTTATCAGTATTATCTGGCAGATGACTAGAGGAATACATTGTGTGGCCTCCAAGCCATGCCCATCTCTATACTACACTGTCCCCAGATAAACCAGGTTATTTTACTAGGAGGAGCCAGCCAGGTTTTGACTCTGGGCTGCCCCTAGCCTTGTTGAATTGAGTGTCTCCTACCAAGTGGTGGTGTTGAATTAAAGAATTGCTGGGATGGCCCTGAAGTCCCCATTTCTCTCCCTAGAAAACTCTCCGAGACAAAGAGCTGGAGGGCCTCCAAGTGAAAATCCAGCGCCTAGAAAAGCTGTGCCGGGCACTACAGACAGAGCGCAATGACCTGAACAAGAGGGTACAGGACCTGAGTGCTGGTGGCCAGGGCTCCCTCACTGATAGTGGTCCTGAGCGGAGGCCAGAGGCTGCCACTGTGGCCAAGGAGCAGGGTGGTGAGGGGCCCGGAACTCAAGCACCCAGCTCCTCAAGGGCCACCGAAGCTCCTGGCTGCCCAGGAACACCGAGCACAGAAGCAACAGGGCCTCAGGAGCCCACCTCTGCCACTGCCTAGAGAGCCTGGTGCTTGAGGCATGCTGGGAAGGGAGCAGCACCCCAGCCAAGCCTGGCCCATACAAGGCTCCCACACCAAACAGCCAGTACTGAAGTCAGGGTGTTCTGACCTGACAGGCCTCTGCCACTTTGCAATTTTGGATTTTGTGGGTCAGTTTTACATATATACCGCATATGTGCAAGGCCTCATGCATTTATATCTGTAAGTGTATAGGGGGCTTGCATTGAGGGCAGGTGTACAGATGAAGTCAGTGCTCCTCTAAGCTGAAGAGTCTTACAGAGGAGGTGACATCTGTAGCTGCCATCACAGTGAACTGGCAGGGCAAGTGACTTGATTTCTTCCCCAGTTTGAGGCTCAGACCCCTCCCAGCCCTTCAGAGCTCATGACAAGTAGTATACCCAGTCCAGGATTGAATTCTGTTGTGAGCAGGGATTGGGCAGCTGGGGCTTTTCTCGCTCTCAGGAAGATGTCAGTGCTTCTCAGCCTGGGGATGCTGTCTCTGCAGAGCCTCAGCATGGCACTCAGAGCCTAGGACAAGGGACCTGGAGAATGTTGCATTGTGGGATGACGTGCTGGTTGGGAGCCCCTGGGGCACTGCTTCCCTTGCCCTCTGGTAGTACCAGGACCAGGCCAATGTTGCTTCTCAGTAGCCTTATCATTCACAGGTGCCTCTCTAGCCTGCACAGATGATTGACAAGAGATCATCCAAAGGATTCTTTCTGAAGGCATTTTGTTTTGGACATGACAGTTCATAGGAGGATTTTCTGAGGAAGGAAGGAGGGGTGCTGTGGTAGTGGTCCTGGGTGCCTGGCCTCCAGTGTCCCACCCCTCACCACCCCACCTGGCTCCTTAGCCATGTTGGTGCTGAGGTTTCCTCTTTGAAAGGAAAGATCAGATTATTTAAGAGAAAGAAAAGGGCTGATGGCTTTGCCATGAGCTTGTCTTTGGTTTTCAGTCCTGGGAGGCCACCCACCATAGATTTCCATCATCACTGTCTCCATGCAGCAATTTCTGGGCCCCAGGTCCTGCTACCCCTTAGCTTTATGGTTCTTTTTCTGCTTCTTCCGCCCCTTGTGCAGTCCTTGAGGTTTGCCCAGGTTCCCATTTCGTCACCTCCTTGCCCAAGAAATAAGAATCATCCTTGGAATTAATTCCATTTCTTCATGTGTGAGAGCTCCCAACTGTTATTTTGACAGAATGAAATTCTGCAGTAGGCTAAGCTCAGGAAATCCACAAAAAGGCTGCAGACGGTTCTTTCTGCCCCACTCTACCCAACCCAGAACATCACTATGTACTACTATGTGTAGCAACTCTGCTGAAAACTCTGGTTGCACACCTGGCAGGGTGTTAGTCACTCTGTACAGAGCAGTTTTGGGGGGCAATAGAATGAGTCTTGCAAGTAGGGCCCTGCTGAGCTTGGGGTACAGTGCCCATCTCCAGTGAACTAAGGAAGCCACAGACCAAGATGGGACAGGTGCAGTTTTGCTTCTTATATTTCTTGGAACTAGCTGTTGTCCTGGAGATCCACCCCCCCCCATCCCTTTATTTTTTACAACTAGTCCCCAGGTAAATTGGTTCATGAAAATGCTGTGTCCTCCTGAACCATGTTTTGACTTAAACCAGAGATGGCAAAAAAATCTCCACCTTGCCCCCTGGCAGGTGCCACACTGATTTACTTCAGAGTGTGTCCTACTAGCCTCTGATATATCCTTAATTCACACAAGATGCCCAATAGTTTTGAGTGTTGAGACCACTTTGTCATTCCTGGCTAAGATCTGCTCTCCTGTGGAGAAATGTTATGCAAGATCTTTGTCTTCCCCTCTTTGAAATCCCTGTATTTGGAATGGTCCCTTCCTCTTCCTGCCTCAGTAAGGCCTCCCACAGCCCTGTGCCAGGCTGAAGAACATAAACTGTCAACACCACAAAGGGTTTGTTGGCTATGGAGGAAAGAGGCAGAGAGGTCTGCTTGCCCCCTTGGAGAAAGTGGAAAGGCCTACAATGGCCCACATAATTACTTGCCTCACTTCAGCTACCTCTTAAAGCCCTTGGGGGTTTGGAACTGTTGGATCCCAGGGTGGTGGGATGGGAGGCTGTGGTATGCAAGTGGCCCCAGCTGGGCTCCCTAGATCAGGAATGTGGGCCCCAGACCAGGTAGAACCCTGGCTCTTGGCTCCATCCATTTCTAGACACCCATGCCAGTCTGTTCATGCAGATCTTTTTTTTCTCTTCCTTTCCATTGACCAAATCTCACCAGTCACTACAGCTGCTCTGCTTGCTCTGCTTTCCAAAGTCAGCCCACGTGCTTGGGTGCCACCCACCCTAGCCAGGTACAGGGAAGGTGGCCTATCCATGAGTGAGGGCCAAGGTCTTCCTCACCCAGGTGAGTCCTGTGCACATGACCTCAGTTTTAGGACCAAGAGCTGTGTTGGTTTCTTAGATTGTTAGCTTTTCCTCCAGGGTCCACAGTTAGGCTCAGATCCCAAAGCCCTAGTTCTGCTAACAGTAACTCATGTTCAGGACCCCGTCTGAGAGCTTCATGCACACCAGATTCCAAGAGGTGTCAGCAGCACTTCTTTATTTGTCATTTGTTTTCTGTGAGGTTTTTGGACCATGGGCTGAGCTCAGGCACTTTCTGTAAGAATGTTATTTCTGTAAAAATGGTTATTTATCCCTCCTCCATCCCCATCGTGGTGGGCCTGCTGAGGGTTGACCAAGAGGCCATTGGAGCTGTCCTGGTAGTGGAGAGGCTGAGGCCTGCCAAGCTACTGCTCCAGCCCTCCCACCTTGCACAGCACTGCAGTGGTCGCCCAGGACAGCCAGGCTCCTGCCTGTTCCTCTCACTCTGCCTGGGGGGAGGACTGCCTCTGTCCTTGTAACTGCTTTCTTTATGGCCCCACCTGGCCACCCAGACTTGTATAAAAGTTGTGCTGACAGCTCCCCTCCCTCTTTTGGTATTCACAACAGCCAGAGACTTGATATTGATGTATTTTAAACCACATTAAATAAAGTCTGTTGCCTTACTTGTTTCTGTTCCAATCTCTGTCGTTAGTTTTTTGAGAAAGGGTCTCACTGTGTAGGTCAGGCTGATCATGAACTCACTATGTAGTCCAAGCTAGCCTCGAACTTGTGGTAATCCTGCCTCAGCCTGCTGAGTGCTGGGATTATAGCATAGGCCACCACACTGGCTCTGTGGCCTTTTGATGCTTCTGGATCCATTTGGTTCCCTCCATGCTCACTGACTTGTCTGGATCTGCTGCAAAGTGGCCATAGCTGTGCTCTGGCAGCCTGAATCTCCTGAGAGTGCCCTGCAGCACACTGACAGATCTGCTTGAGCGGCCTATACCCTTGATGAAATTGGCAGGATGCTTTACTCAGTAACATTTAATAAATACTGTTTCCAGCTGGGGGGGCCTCACAGTCTAGGGAAGGGGAAAAAACACAAGTATAGAAAGGCCAACAGTGTATGCCTTTATGGAAAGGCCAGCAGTATAGAAAGGTGTGGAGGTGTATGCCCTGGATCCTGAGGCAGAAGGATCACAAATTAGCCCAGCCTGGACAACTTAATGAACCCCTGTCTAAAAATTAAGAGGGGTGGGGGGATGTAGCTCAGTGAGTACCTCAAAAAAAGCCAGTGATGCTATGAGAACAGAGGAGGGCCCTGCCTTCAACAACAGAGAAGTAGATAACTTGGAAGGGCCTGTTGACCTAAGTATAGGCAGAACAATTTGACAGCTTCATGTAGTAATTAAACGGTTCACCTGGGAATGCAGGTAAACAGGAGGGTTAGAGGGAGATGAGCCTGGCAAACTAGAGTTTGTATACCAAGTTAAAAACTTTGAGGGCTGGGGATTTAGCTCAGTGGTTTTGCTGCCTGCTGTGTAAGCGCAAGGACCCGAGTTCTATTCCCGGTACCAAAAAAAAAAAAAAAAAAAGAACTTTAAGCCAGATAGCCAGGCATGGTGCCCCACACCTTTAATCCCAGCACTGTGAGTTCAAGGTCAGCCTGAACTGAATAGTAAGACCCTGTCTCAGAAAAAAAAAATTTGACCCAGATCCAGTGGGGCAAGGTGGACCTTCTGAACCACCCAAAACATGAAAAGGACTTTCAGGTTCCTTTGGTTTTAGGTTTTTTTGTTGTTGTTGTTTTTAAGAACCAATATCTTTTAAAAAAAAAAAAAAAAACACAATCTTTGGGGGGGGTTTTGGTTTGGTTTTTGTTTGTTGTTTTTTTTTTTTGGTACTGAGGACTGCGCTTGCACAGCAGGCAGCGAAACCACTGAGCTAAACCCCTGGCCCCACAATCTTTGGTTTTAATCCCTTTAGAAATCTGAGTTATGTCTCACTACAGAATAATATAAATTAGTTCAAATTAGTGTAAAAAATGTTTACAAATGAATAGCATATTATTAAATGTTTGTAAATAGTTTCTTCCTATTTCACAACTGTTAACAGCTCCTCTAAAGATACCAGTAACCAGTTTGGAATTGAATGAAAAAACCCACACTTCATGAAAGGTGTTCACAGTAGGGTACTCCAGCCACAACGTTCACACTATATCTTTTTTTTGTTTGTTTTTGGAACACTGTATCTTTTCTGATTAGGGAAAATTATACTCACACATAAGAAATCATCTCTTTGTTTACAAATCCAGAATAAATTCTTTGAGGGTCTCCTTGTTAGACTTTCTTTTTTAGCTGTAGGCAAAACATTACATCTTTTGAAAAATATATTTTAGCAGAACTCAAGTCCTGCACTGAAGCACAGAAGTGGGCAGGGTCCCTAGAACTCAGGCTTTTGTGCCAAATATTTAGGAAGGTCAAAGTTTGCCTTTAGAGATTAGAACTCAACATAGAAGACAAATTCAGTTGTCAGGCAGCTCTTTCTAATTTACAGTAAAACTATACAACAGCAAAACTCCATTTTACCTTGAACTTTACATCATGCAAACTTCAAATTTAAAAAAGAATCATTCCAAGTCCCAGTGTAGATCACAAGCCTTAGACCCAAGCATCAGAAAATAAATTTTGACATTTTTCTAGTCTTCCTAGAAGTATTTTTGGCTGACATTAATTAACAACCTAGACTGAATCTGCTGCTCAGGAACACATTTCTTTTTGCTCTACCACTGAACTCCATCCCCAGGCACAAGAAACACACTTTTTGATCTGGCAACAGAAAATGGTTCTGGTAACTTTTTTTTTTTTTTTCTTGGTACCGGGGATCAAACACGGGTTCTTGCACTTGCGCAGCAGGCAGTGAAACCACTGAGCTAAATCCCCAGCCCTCTGGTAACTTCTCCAGCAGTCAGATGGAGGGAATTTTGCACTGATAGGCCCCTCGCCACTCACTGCTTTTTTGTGACTTTTCGATACCCCACTCTTCCAGTGTCATAGTCCTGCCGATATTCATTGAGAACCTAGCCTCCAGGTCACCCTCATACTGCCTGCCCTCCTTGAAACCTGCGTCCCAGTCTGTGCAAATGATCCTGTCGTCCAGAAGAGTTCTGTTTATGAGACACATGGCATTTTCTGCACCTGCTCTTGAGTATTATTCCACAAAATAGAAGCCACATGTTATTTTCATTTTATCCAAATCCATAATGATCTTCTTTGTCACCACTTTTGCTGAAGAGTTCATAAATTTGTTTTTCGGTAAAAGGAAAGATTTCTGACATACCATGTACAACTTTTCAGTAATTTTTCTTGTTTTTCATTGTCATCTTGAAAGTGCTGGTCCCATTACTGGTACTGGCTCAGCTCCACGTAGGAGTTGCTGCACAACACCTTCAGGATGCTACCCGACATGATGCTAAGAGGTAGAGGAAAACTCTTTGCCTCCGTGAACAGCCATGGAGTTCTTGGTTTTTGTATTTCTGTGACAAGGTCTCGGTATGTAGTTCAGACTGGCCTTGAACTCACTATGTAGCCTAGGCTGGCCTTGAACTCAGCAATCCTCCTGCCTCAGCCTCCTAAGTGCTAGGATTACAGCGATGCACCACCACACCTGGCCTGGTTTTAGGTATCTCTTGACAAGATCACATTGTCTTTTCAGCAAGTTTCTTACCCCTGTTTACTCACTGAGAATTAACTGAGGGTTAGCTCAGCGGCACCAAACCTGCCTCACAAGCGCAAGGTCGTGAGTTAGATCCCTGGTACCAAAAAAAAGAAAAAAAAAGCTGAGGCTTCATTATATAGGAGATAACCTACTGGTGCCCTTGTCCACCACCTTGTTCTCTCTGGGACCTCAGTTACACACAGATGATGGTACGAGGTGAATGCCCAACAAATGGCAGAGGCAAGACAAGTGCTCTTCACTCTAGCCCCTGCAAGTAGATGCATCCATCCACTAGTTGGGACAGTCCCAGCAGAGGCTCCGCCCCCTTCTTGATGGATGTGCCGGCCACATTGGTTCTAGTCAAAGATCCTCTGGAAGGGGTGAGAGGATGCCACCCCAACTCTTGAAATGCAAAGCAGCTCTGAGAATAACGAGGTTTCTGGCTCCTCCTCGGGAAGCAACTGAAGGTGGGAACCTGAGAGTGCTCCTAGACCCTCTGCCACTTTCCACAGGCACCTTGGCGCAACTGTAGCAGCTCTGGTAGGGAAGGAGAGAGACTTCTCTGTCGTCCTCCTTCCCCTGAAAAAGTCCAGAATTAATGTCTCCCCTTCTCAAGGATGATGGAGGGTGGAATTACCTGGAAAAAGTTTGTGGCTGCAGAAGCAGTGCCACTCCCCAACTCAGCCAGAGACCCAGGCCTGGGAAATGCTCAAGCCCAGTGTTGAGGGAGGTGATCAGAGAGACTGTGTGGTTTGCCCTGGGACAGTTAATTCAAACCTGCTGGGAAGCCTGGCCCAGAATGAGCCTTTCTCCTGTGGCACCAGATGCTGCTCTGGGGACATGAGCTGGGAGCCTCGGCCAAGTCTTTAAATAGCTGCCCCATAGATCTGACCTGAATGCAGCACCAGTCTGACTCCTCCCTGGTACTAGGGTTTCCCTCCTGGGCGCTGGAGTCGGTGCCACGGAATCTCAGAGTCTTCTCTCTGACCTGGTGTTCCCTATACCTGTCTCAGCCTGGCAGGTGGGAAGGAGTCCTGTCACATCATCAGTGGCAGAATAGAACCCCACCACCTACCAGCCATTGTCTGTGTGTGGCTGGGGACATGGTATTGCCCTGGAATGACTTTACTTGCAATAAAATGAAAGCAATGACAGTGATGCTTCAGGGTTGTTATGGGGATTAAAATTTATATAAAATGACTAGGGAAGGGCCGGGGATTTAGCTCAGTGGTTCCAGCGCCTGCCTTGCAAGCGGAAGGTCCTGAGTTCAATCCCCGGTACCAAAAAAAATAAAAATAAAATGACTAGGGGGTGAAAAGAATTAGATGTATTATGTATGTATACCAACTCACCATAATGAATGTAATCATTATGTACTGCAAACATGTACTAATAAAAATGAAAAATTAGTCTAGTAGGAAAACTAAAAAAAGTGTTGGATACATGGATGTCTACTCTTGCTTCTTCCTGCTCCTTCTTATACACTTATATGTTTCCCCTTCTCTCTCCTCTCACGCTCTTCCCTTCCCCTCCTCCCCCTCCCCTTCTCCTCTTCTTCTGACGAAGCCACCTCCATTTTGTAAGGACTGTGCTTTCCTTCCTAAAGTGACCTGGAAGGGAAAGAATTTTCTAAATCGGTATCGCACCTCCAACAAAGTCACCTTAGTTGAGAGGGGAAGGGAGTGAGAGGGACAGACGCGGAGCCACCCCTCTCTCCCCGCTCTATCCCGAGCCCGGTTAAGGCCACTTTCTCTTTAAATGCAAATCACCTCCCGCCAGTTTAGCTCCCACCCGCTCGCGTTCCCGGGAGGACATCGCGGAAAGCGAAGGAACTTGCATCGGGGCATCTCTCGGGACCTCAGACTTCCAGGTCAGTTGCCCCTGGATCGGAGGGGACGGGATGATGCGCTGTGACTCTCCGTTTGGGAGATCCTTTCTTCAGGGGCTGAGCGTGGGAAACCGGTCCCTTGTGGCCTCTTCGCTCCTGGGGAGCTGGGGCTCTTGCTCCAGTTCTGTCAAGTCCTTCACTGGGTCACACTGCTACTGGGAGAGGCAAAGGATGCGCCCTGAACTCCCCTCTACTGCGCCCCTGACCCATGCAGTACCAGCCACCTTCAAAGCTTATGCCTGCCCTCCACCTGGAGTCAGGCTTTGTGGCAGCGATCTGGAGTGAGACCCCTGGGAGAGGACCCCCGCAGACCAGAGGCTTCAGTGGTGGGGCTGCACTGGAGGCCATCTAACCAGTGCCAGCCATGGGTGCAGCCATTGTTGGAGGCCGAGGCTGCCAGCTGCCTGTCCACCCACCCAGGGACTTTCTCACTAGAAAGAGTGAAAGGCTAGAAGCTGTGCCAAGGGAACTTCTGGGAGTCCCTGGCATTTGCAGTTTGGAGTAAAGTAGAAGAGGGATGGGGGGGGGGCGCGGTCCCCTGTCATGTGTGCTCTGGCTTCTCCTGCAAAAACTTATGGTGGCCACTGCTTGACACTGAGACCTTCCCAGGTGTCCCCGCGCTCACCTTGGTTGCCTCTCATGCCCACAGATTGGTCAGAATCTGCCAAGGCATTTGATAAACAAAGTGAGGCCTACTGGACACTCATACTGCTCCTCTGGGTTCCTGCCAGCTCATATCAACCCTGCCTCCCCCTCCATTTCCCCTCCAGCCCCACCCTTTCAGCCACAGAGCTGAGTCCAGCCACACCAGGAGAGCCCTGTCTGGTCAGTGATTTTAGGCAGAGAGAGACAGAGGGTGGCCTTGGAAAGTCCTTCATAGGCACATCCATGCACCCAGCAGCAGTACTGGCATCTGGCCCTGTGCAGATGAAGGGACAGAGGCCCTGACCGTTGTGAGAAGACAATTGCAAAGGGTCCTTTTTTCGCAGTTCTCAGGGGTTGCTGGGTGAAGGGATGACTTTCCCCCTCACTATCTGTAGGGGACAGGGGAAGGGGACGTTACCAGAACCTCTGCAGTGAGTCCTGGTCTCCTGCGAACCACAACAGCACACGGCGAATTACAGGAAAGGTAGAAAAATGAGACTGAGAAGAAGCTGAGCTTTGGGTCTGATCAGTGCTGCTCTGGGCGGCAAAAACAAAAGCCCGCCCCGCTTACCACACCTTTTATTCAGTACCTCGTAACAAATGACTTGCAGAGAATTCAGTACATCGGGAGAAACAAATGTAACAAATGACTTGCAGAGAGTTCAGTAGTTCACATTGGGATAAACAAGGTGTAACAAAAGGCTTGCAGAGAGTTCGGTACATCTCGGGTAAACAAGATGTTAACAGTCCAAGAACAACGAGGAACTGAGCAGATGTTTGTTCTCCCAGGATGTTTCTTGTCCTGGAGAATCACAGCATCACTGGATCACTGAAGTCTCACTTGTGACCGGAGGCCAAACTGGAGTTATTCTGTAGCTGGGCTGTAGGCAAGAGAACTAGGCTAACCAAATGATTTTTCCCTAGAATTATGTAACATTGCTCCCAACAACTATCTTTTCCAGGCCTGAGGCCCAGCCAGCATCCAATGGATGACAAAAAGAAGAAAAGGAGTCCCAAGCCCTGCCTGGCCCAGCCAGCCCAGGCACCAAGCACACTTCGCAGGGTCCAGGTACCCACAAGCCACAGTGGCTCTTTGGCCCTGGGACTCCCTCATCTCCCATCCCCCAAGCAACGGGCCAAGTTCAAGAGGTGTGTAAAGAAGGAAGTTGGGTAAATGGGGAGGGCCTCCAACTCTGGGATGTGCACTGTGGGGAAGGCAATGGGGAGCCTTCACTTACTAAGCAATAATGGATGCCTTCCCTGGTACTGGCCCCAGCTGGCCCCTGAACACTGAGATGACTCAGAGCCAGTGCCTTCCCTTAAGCGCATTGCTAAAAGCCAGGTGGGTCACCAGAATTGGGCAGAGTGAGGCTGTACCTTGGAAGGAGTGAGCAAACTGCCAGGAACTGAAAGCCAGAGGGGGCTACCAGGCACCCTGAAGAAGGAAAAATGTTCTAGGCTGGGAGACTTGCTTGGCATAAAAAACAGAGAAAGATTTGGTCTAGAAAGTTTCAGGAACAACAAATAGTTGGGGCCCTTGAAGTGCCAGTGAACAAGAAATAGTTGGAGAATACCTGGGTATGCAATTTGAATTCTCTAAATTTTTTTAAATGATTGGGAATTTACATGCTAACTTATAGTGTGTCCATGCAGGTTCTCACCAAATACAATGTGTTCTTTCTCCAGGAGTTCAGATTCTTTCTCTAAATGTTACCCTGTGGCTTTCTATGCCACCTGGCTGAAAGGCATGATTGGAGGCAGCCACAGGGGGTTGTAGCTGAAGCCGGGGCTGGGATGAGAATAACAGGAAATACAGCTGGAAAGGAAGAAAGACCAGGCTGGCAAGGACTTCAGTGTATCCTGAAGAAATGGAAAATTCAAAAGTTTTTAGCATAGAAACAGAAAGATGGGGGTGGGGGGTCAGATAGCTTCGGTGGTAATAAAGGAGTAATTATCTCCAAGTTCACCGAAGATCAAGGAGTCCATGTGATCATCTAGAATCACAGAAGGATATGTGAGGCTCTGAGAAACTCAGGAGTCCACCAGGTGTGGTGGCACATGCCTGTAATCCCAGCATACAGCACTCACTCAGGAGGCTAAGGCAGGAGGATCACGGTGAGTTCCAGGCCAGCCTGGGCTACATAGCGAGACCCTGTACTCAGGAGTCATCCCCATGCAGGCATGGGTTTGGCTGTGTCATTAGTGGAAAGACTTCGTTTTACCTGTTACCCCTATACACCTCTCACTCACTCCTGTCCCTTTACCCATTCTGGTCCCAGGGCAGGGCCAGAAGCACAAATATCAACTTGTGTTGCGAGTAGATGGGAAGATGAATTAGTATATAGATAGATGGTATAAGAGATCCATGAGTGCCTGGCTGCCCTTCCAGCATGTGACCATGGTCATGTCCATCCTATCCAGAGTAGGCAAAGAGAAATGCCGCCCAGTGCTGGCCGGAGGTGGAGGTGGCTCTGCAGGCACGCCCCTGCAGCACTCCTTCCTGACCGAGGTGACTGACGTCTATGAGATGGAGGGGGGACTGCTGAATCTGCTCAATGATTTCCACTCAGGCAAGCTCCAGGCCTTTGGTGAGTCCTGAGGGCTTGGCAGAGAGGGGATTGGGTAGGGCTGGTCTCTGGGGTGTGACTGGGTCTAGGGTCCCAGGCCCCTTCCCAAGGCTCAGACAGACACTGTCCAGGGAAGGAATGCTCCTTCGAGCAGCTGGAGCATGTGCGGGAGATGCAAGAGAAACTGGCCCGACTGCACTTCAGCCTGGATGTGTGTGGGGAGGAGGAGGACGAGGAAGAAGAGGACAGCGCCCCTGAGGGGTTGCCAGAAGAACAGAAAAAGACAATGGCAGACCGCAACCTGGACCAGCTGCTTAGCAATGTGGGTCACGAAGCTAGGTGCTCGGGCTCCTGGGGGAACCTCGGGTGGGAGAAGATACATTTTCCCAAAGCCATTCTTGGCCTCTGCTGAAAAGGAGGGGCTGCATGGATCCAAGAGCTGTGAGCCCCTCAATCCATAACAGAAGAAGGCCCCCAGAGCATGGGGAGTTCAACCTGCTCCCCCTACTGACAGAAACCTCCCTTTCTTTCTATTGACAGCTTGAAGATCTTAGTAATTCTATGTATCCTTTTTAAAGGAACTGACAGTGCAGTGCCCCTGTGTTTCCCAGAGGACAAAGGGATGCTGGATGGGATGAGGTCAGTTTCTTTCTCTTCACCTCCCTCCAGGATACCCATCCTTAACCAACATTCCCACCCTTTGCAGTCTTACTGCTTCAGAACTGGGCACAAACTGTCCCTACCCGGGTAGAGGACTATGAAAAGAATTTCCCAAATATATGGGGAAAGATGGGTGCAAGGAATGTTTTACCTCCTGATGAAAATCTCACTGCAGGGCCGGGGATTTAGCTCAGTGGTTCCACCACCTGCCTTGCAAGCACAAGGTCCTGAGTTCAATCCTCAGTACCAAAAAAAAAAAACCCAAAACTGTCTCGTTGCAGTACTTTAGCTAACACCAATCCTTGTCTGATGTTCTCCTACCCTTTCAGCACTTAATTTAAAATAAGTCCTCATCTACACCCTGTCACATGCACACACAGCAACCACGGGTCCACCAGCTCATTTGAACTGCATGCGCTGGATGAAAAGAGAAAAGAGGGTAAAGGGGCCTAGCAAGAAAGGCAGGCAGAGTAGACTGGGATGTAGCTCAGTGGGAGATCACATACTTGGCCTGGAAGAGCCCCAAGGTTCCATCGAAGCACCACACACGCACGAAAAAAAGGACGAGGACTGGAACCTCAGACTATGGACGAACTTTCACAAGGCTGAGCAAACTAAGCCTGTACAGGATGGGAAGACAGATGGCAGGGAGGACTGGGATTCAAAGTTTCACAATCCTTGACTGGCACAGACAGAAACTGCACCTGGCAGAGAACGCTGAGCCTGAGGAGCAATCAGCTGCATAGGTGTTGAATACAAGCCCAGACTGCCTCTCTTATTCCTTTCAAACTGTGACTTTTTATGGACTCCGGAAGGTATTCCGCAGTCCCCCAGGTGCTATGGGGGAAGGGGGCATTGGATGGAATTAAAAAAAAAAGAAAGTAGCTTCTTGTCCTCCTTCCTTTCCTCGTGTCTCTCCTCGGGGCACCCTTACGCAGCACACTTGGTTCGGAGGCTCTGCTTGGGTAAGACTGGGACGCACTCAGTTGCTCTGGGAGGAGACTTGGCGGAAGCTCCAGGTGCGTAGTTTAAACCCTGACGAGGCTAGGGCTGCCTAGGAAACAGCGAGTGTGGAGTTCTGCGCCTGCGCACGTTTGGGTAGGGCGCCGCCTAATGACGCATTGCGCACGCGTGCGCCAGTGGCCAGTGAGAGTCCGGATGGAGTCGGAGTTGATCCTTCGAAGGGTGTCGGCGCTGCAGGTTCATTGCGGGACGGACGGGAGGGCGGTGCGCCTGGGGGTCTCAGTCAGGGACCTACGGCCTAGACGAGGGTGTCATGATCAGTCCCCTACCCGCGTGCCAAACTCTGGAGGTGCCGGTCTACCCCCACCACAGTGAAGAATGGTAAGACCCACCGACTTCCCTGAGCGCTCCTGCGGCATCAGGGGAAGAGCCGGAAAAGCTGTAAAGCCAGGACGAGGTCCAGTTCAGAATCCTCCCTGAAAGTCCTGGAGCCCCAGCGCACACTGTCACTAGTCTTTTCCTTGGGGCCGTGACATCTCTTGCAGCCCCGGGGATGACCGTCCCGAGAGGCCCCTTCTTGAAATGATTACCCCCACCCCCCACCCCGGCCTTTCTACACACCAGGCCTGCATCCGGGGCTTCTTGGTCCGACGCCGATTCCAAAGACTTCGAGCTGAGTATGAGTTGATTGTACAGGAGATCGAGGGAGGCCTGGGCACACTTCAGTGGAGTTCGGGCTACATTCCCAGGCCCTGTTTTCTCCCAAAGGTATCGCACACCCCAGGGGGAGAGAGGAGGGGAGGGACCTGGACAGGGGATTCAAGGGAATGGTAGAACCCACTCTTCTGATGACAAACCTGACACTGGACAAGGCAGCATACTTGCCGCCTCACACCCCATTCCTTAATCCTAGCAAATACCCACTGGTCCATGGTGCCCAGATTCATGGAGAGCTTTATGTATTGGGCTCTCACACCTCTGTGATTTCTTAGAAGGCAAAATCCCATCGCTTTTGGAAAGCAGGAGAGAAAGTACCAAGTCCAGAGCAGGAACGATGGAGCCACTTCTCCTTTAAAAAGTCTGAGGAAAAGATCATCTGGGAAGAGATGGGACTGAAGAAGACAGAAGAGATCTCAGCAAAATCAGGAAGTCTTTTCAGAGATGACAGCTCCTGGCTTCAGGTTGAGCACAGCAATGAAACCAAGTATCCCAGCCAAAAGGAGACCAGAGACACATCAAGGATTGAGAACCCAGGTACCTCTCTGACTAGATCAGGGCAAGCCCCTGACCCTCTCTGGGCCTTAGGCTCCCCATCTGAAAAGTTAAAGGAATGTGCTAGACAAGCTGCAGCCCCCTCCTCCTCTCTCTGCCTGGTTGGGGGAGACACATGGGTGGGCAGCAAGGGGTCCAGCTCTAAAGTATTATCCTTCTCTTCTCTCCTTCAAAGTAGCCACAAGTGCAGGACTGTCCTGCAGCCATCATGAGCTCCAGGAGCTCCACTATCATCGAAGCCACTTGGCCATGGAACTACTATGGTTACAACAGGCCATCAACAGCCGTAAGGAGGTAGGTGCTAACTGGGAACTCTGGGTGGGGATTAGGGAGAGACCTCCTGCTGTCCTCAGGCCTGCATGGTACAGTATCTCTTCTCTCCCAACAGTATCTAATTCTCAGACAAACACTGACATCCCCAGAGGCAGCCCAGACCAGAGAAGAACTCAGCCTGTGCCCAGACCGTGGAGGACAGGCTTGTGAGAAGGTGTGGTCACAACGAAGCCCATTGTCAGGACTACTGGAGAGCTAGACCTTCCAGATGACTCCTGTCAGAAGGCCAAATCACAGCCCTACAAGTCCCCAGAGAGTCTGGGCACTACCGACAAAACTACTGCTGGGGCTAAAGGCAGGGAACCATGTCATAGGAAGGCTGGGCCATGGCTGTCTATACTATCAGATAGCCAGGCTGGAGGGGACAGGGTGACCAAAGGGCCAGATCAAAGAGGACAGACCTTTGAAGGTACTTTCTTGCAGCAGATGAAACTTCTGGAGGACCAGACCTCTAGGGCCCTCAAACCTAGAACTCCCTGTTCTGGAAAGCCAGGACACAGCTACCTGCTCTCTGTGAAGACCCAGATGTTGAGGACAAGTCTTTCAGAAAGCCAAACCACAAAGAGCCTGACTACCAAACAGTCAGACCACAAGAGCTGAACAGAAGACCACAGCATTTGGAATGGGACCTTGGCGGGGCCAGAGCATGGTCACCCGGACCTCAGGAGGGCTAAATTACCCAAGGCACAGACACCCAGTGATAGAAGTCCCGGAGACAGAGTGTCCAGTGAGCCTAGTCACAAAGAATGGAAAAACCACGGAACTGCACTTTGGAGATAAGGCTTCCTGAGAATCTGTCTTCCACAGGATTAGACGAGACGGGAGAGGACCAATGGAGGGGCAGACCATTGAAAACAGGACCTCCAGGTTAGACGCTGGGGAGCCAGGGAATGAACAGGTTCTGATGGGGACACTGTGAAAGGGCAGAAGGCAAGCCCTCATCCTGGTACCAGCTCTACTTTCTGCCCTCAGCCCCAGCCAGTGGTGGCTAGTGGGACCCAGAGAGACTAAAGGATAGAGTTGGCATAAATAGAGGGAAGAAGAAAAAAGATACCCTTTTGTCCTCTGCCAGTGGCACAATCCAAATTTCAGTTAAATCCAAATTAAGCAGTTACCTGGGGAAAGTAAAGTGGGAGGCCTGGGGAATAAAGGTTTTTCTTGGATTCTGAGCCTGGCTGCTTTCAAGTCCTGCCTCTGGCCTCTCCTGTTCAGTTCCACCTAGCTAGCATGGGGCGGCGTCATCATGGCTGAGAAGCAGATTTAGCCATCTTTCTTAGGGAACAGACCCCCAGCCAATCTCCCCTTGAGCTCAAACTACTGGGGTTCAGAGTAGCTAAGGCTCTGGAGAATACTGAGACATCTGTGTTTAAATGGGATCTCTGTGCTGCCAAGGTGTGGTGGCACACACCTCTAATCCCAGCACTCTGGATGCTGAAGGCAGGAGGATTGCTACAAGTTCAAGGCCATCCTGAGCTACATGGTAAGTTCAAGACCAGCCTTAACTAATGGTGAGCCTCTAAGTGCAAAAAAAGGGATCTCTGCTACTCTCTCTTATTGAGTTACCAGAGGCTCTCCCTGCCTTTCTGGTTGAGAGAGCAGGACTCCACCTCTGGCATGCCTCCCAGCCCAGGCTTAAGTTCCCTGGCAACAGTTCTGCGTCTCAAACTGAGGAGACACTATGGCAGCAGCCAAAAGGGTAGTAGTGTACCGAAATGGGGACCCCTTCTTCCCAGGCCGCCAGCTGGTGGTAACCCAACGCCGTTTCCCCACCATGGAAGCCTTCCTTTATGAGGTGACATCAGCTGTGCAGGCCCCACTGGCTGTACGTGCCCTCTACACACCTGGTGATGGCCACCATGTCACTGACCTGGCAGACCTGCAGAATGGAGGGCAGTATGTGGCTGCTGGCTTTGAACGATTTCACAAGCTCCAGTGAGTGGGGTAGGGCTGCTCAGACAGCCTAGGGAGGGGGCAAGGAGCACAACCAATAGTGTGTATCCCATACTCACTATGTAAGGGCCATTTTCTCCTTTAACCTGGGGGTGGGTTCATTTCCACTAGTTAGAAGGGGAAACAATAGGGCCGGGGATTTGGCCCAGTGGTGCCACTGCCTGCCTTGCAAGTGCAAGGTCCTGAGTTCAATCCCTGGTACCGCAAAAAGGGGGCGGGGCGCACTGGGGATTTAGCTCAGTGGCACCCCACCTGCTTTGTAACCGCAAAGTCCTGAGTTCGATCCCCACTACCAGAAGAAAAAGGGGGGGAAATTGAAAAACCTGCCTTCCTGAGTACATGAGCAACAGAGGGTTGAGCTGCAATTCAGATTAATTTTTTTTTTTTTTTTTTTTTTTGGTACCGGGGATCAAACTTGGGACTTTGTGCTTGTGAGGCAGGCAACCGAACTACTGAGCTAAATCTCCGGCCCTTCTTTTTTGTTTGTTTGAGACAAGGTCTTGCACTATAGTTCAGGCTGGCCTTGAGCTCACTATGTAGCCCAAGCTGGCCTTGAACTGCAGCGATCCTCCTGTCTCAGCCTCCCAAGTGCTGGAATTACAGGCATGTACCACCACAACCACCTCAGATCAAATTCTGTCTGGTACTAACACTTAAGCTGATCATAGTTATTTGCCTGTGAGAAGGAAGCCATTTTGCAAGTTGAACTTCTTCCCAAAAGCTCTTCATTGAATCCTCTACCACCACCAAACAGTCTCAATCTGTCTGTCACTTCCCTTTCTCTGTTTACACATCCCAAAGTCTCCTATCGAACTAGGATCATCTCTACATGTTGGGGCTGTCTGGCCAGGTGGGAGTTGAGGTTGACTGAGCTTCCAACTCAGATCTGGCATCCAGGGCCCACTGTGAGCTTTCAGGTAAGGTTGCTTACTATGATGTTAAGAGCAAGAGCTCAGGAGCCGGGTATGGTGGTACATGCCTGTACTCCTAGCACTTGGGAGGCTGAGGCTGGAAGATTGCCACAAGTTTGAGGCCAGCCTGAATTATGGAGCAAGACCCTGTCTTAGGAAACAAACAAAAAAAAAAAGCAAGGGCTTGGGAGCTAGACAGACTTAAAGTCTGGGTTTGGTCACTTCTGTGTGACTCTGGGCAAGTTACTTAGCTGAGTCTGACAAAATGCAGATAAAATCACCTACTTTGTTGGGGATTTGGCTCAGTGGTAGAACACTTGTATGTGTGAGGCCCTTAGTTCAATTCTTAGTACTGCCCCCCGACAAATTGTCAAAACCACTTACCTAATGGATGAGAATGTTCCTAGGATATGGGACACTTAATTACTCATTCCTCTCAACCTTATCTCTGAGACTCTGGTCCTAAGGCAAGTTCAAGTGCTAGCATCTGTTTCTGGACTGAGAAGAGGGATGCCTAGTGAGCCCTACACTTTGGCAGCTAGTAGGCTGCTGACGTCTCAGGCTCCCCATGATGACCTGTGACCTGTCTGTCCTTTCAGCTATTTACTCCCTAGAGGGAAGGATCCAGGTGGGAAGAGCAGCAGACTACAAGTGAGTCTCTGGAGGTTGTCCCCAGCCTGACCTCCCAACCCTCCTGGAATTGCTCCAACTTGGACTGGGAAGTCGGGCCCTGGAAACAGCCAGAGTTGCCAGTTCATGGGGCTTACTCTGCACACCCACCCAAGCCTCTATCCTTCCTGGTTGGGATTTCAAGACACTATCCCCTGCTTCTATGCCAGCCTTTCATTTTCTCTCCAAAGGAGAAGTCCTGGGTCCCCAAAGGAGAGGAAGTTGTGAAACGCATGTGGGCGAAGGGGTGTTTAGAAAATGACTTAGCCTTTGGTGAAAGGTGTGGCCAATCAGCCTCCTTGCCCCTTTTCCTGCCCAGGTCTGGTCCTGCCTGCTCATCCCACACTCTTTAAACTGACCCACCTGTAACCAAAGGCCTCTGCTCTCTCCTAATTTGAGGGCCTGACTTGGGTTTCAGGACTCTTCCATGACTCACCAGCAGCGTGATGGGGCCCTTGGACAGTGGCTGCCTGCAGGTGCCCCCTGCTATATCCAGTGAGTGCCAGTGTCAGAGTAGGGATACAGATTGCTGTTTCAGTGAGACAAGAAAGTGGGGGTGGGTTTGTCCCATGGTTATGGGTGGGATGATAAGCCCAAGATGCCTGATGGGTAAAAATAGACCAGTATGGTGATTTTTGGGCCACTTGCCCTCACATTTGGGGTGTCCTGGGAACCCTACTTACCAGATTGCTCTTTGTCTTAGTGTGTTCAGGAATGGGGACCTGCTAAGTCCCCCATTCAGTCTGAAACTGTCCCAAGCTGCTATTCGGGACTGGGAAACTGTGTTGAAGCTCCTGACTGAGAAAGTCAAGTTAAAGACTGGGGCTGTGCGCAAGTGAGTATGGGAACTAGAGGGGCCCAAAAGTTCCCAAAGAGGCTCCCCACTGTTGTCAGCTGTTCATGAAAATGGCAATAGGAAAGAATGTCCCCTCCAGGGACTTCTGGCTGTGCCACAGGGAGAGGCCCCTCTGCCACAGCCCTCTATGCTAGGGCAGAACCTGGGTGACTGGTACCCAGAGGGTTAAAGCCAGGGTTGCCTTGGAGTAGCAATACCCACCTGTCAGTGCCTGCTGAGTATGAAGAAGCATATTGACCACCAGCCCTTATCCTGCTCACCTTTTCCCCAGACTCTGCACCCTGGAGGGGCTCCCGCTGTCAGCAGGAGAGGCTCTGGTGAGTGGCCATTACTATGTGGCTGTTGGAGAGGATGACTTCAAAGGCCTCCCCTATCTGGAGCTGCTGGTGCCCAGCCCCTCCCTGCCCAGGGGCTGTTGGTATGTATGTGGGAGGTGTAGGGTCACAGGCCGCGGAGAGACCTCTGGTCTGCATGCCCTGACTCCCTGTCATCCTCTGCTCACTACAAGCCTTTCCTCCTGTCATTGTAGGTACCCCCCAGACCAGAAATACAGACCTCGAAGGCAGGGGGTAGGTGATGCAGGGGGCCATGGAGTGGAAAGAGGAGTGACTGGCTGAGAATTCTGATAGCTTGGGCTCTGACTTTATCTCTGTATCTTCTCAATAATATTGTGAAACACACTGAAGCTCAAAAGAGTAAAGTGATTTGTTTAGGGTGACACAGGTATTGAGTGCCAAAGGCCAGACCAGAACTATGATCTTCAGGATGGAGTTACACAGCCTAATGCCTACTGGCATACTTGGCATGGCAGGGCCCAAGGGAACTCAGATTACCATCCTATTCCAGGCCTGAAGGCTTGAGGATGTGGGTCAGTGGTAGAGTACCTGCTGGCCTAATGTGCCAGGTGCTGGTTTAGTCCCCAGTACAAAAACAAAAAGAAAACACAGACTAGGTGAGGTGGCACCTGCCTTTAATCCTAAGTACTCAGGAAGCTGAGTCAGGAGAATAGGTAATTTAACAAGACCCTGTCTCAAAATAAAAAATAAAAAGGGCTAGGGATGTGCTCAGTGTGAAGGTCTTGGGTTCAATCCCCAATCACATATCACACATATCAAAAAACAAAACGGGGCCGGGGACCTAGCTCAGTGGTCCCACTGCCTGCCTCACAAGCGCAAGGCCCCGAGTTCAATCTCTGGTACCAAAATAAAAAATAAAATAAATAACCAGGCCTGAGCCCTCCTGGCCTCCCAAGAGATGAGCCAGGGAACATGGGGCATTGGGGTGGGGCCACAGTCTGGCTTCATTGGCATCTTCAAGAGCCAGGCACCAGTTGTTCTGTGCCTGGACAGGCAGTCTAATTGGGAAGAGGGAGCAGGGAAGGAGGATGTGGACAAATGGCACTGCCTCTCCTAAGCTCCCTCAGGCATCAGGGCACTAGGGAATAGGACAGGTGTGAAGACCCAGCAACCACGGTCCAAGCCCATTGTCTCTTCTGAAGGCCCAGGACCGCATGGCACAGGCAAGCCAGCCCTCTCCAAAGGAGCCAGAACGAATTGAGCCATCTGCTTTCTATGCCAGACCCCAGCAGGGCATTCAGCCAAGAAGCAAGCCCCCTACTCTATCATTTCCATCAGGTGAGTGGCTCCTGGGCCGTGGCCTCTCAGCCACAACCACCATCACCTTTTTTTTTGGTTTGGGTTTGGGGTTTTTTTTTGTTTTTTTGGTACCGGGTATCAAACTTGGGTCCTTGCGCTTCCAAGGCAGGTGGCGGAACCACTGAGCTAGATCCCCGGCTACCACCACCTTTTTGTGTATGTGCTGGGGATTGAACCCAGGCCTTTATGCATGATAGGCAAGTGTTCTACCTCACCCACCCTTGGGCAGTGACCCCGGATGGTCACTGTCGTTGCTGGGGAGGTTTGTAGAGGTAGAATGCCCTAGGATGAAGCTGGCTCTGACTTCAGCAGAACTGTCTCCTACTCCCCTGTGTGCATGTCCAATTGCTTGCTTCTTCATACAGACTTGTCATGTGGAGAGGGCAAGGCTTATCTCAAAGGGATGAGGCTTCAGGGGTAGAATTCGCAGGGCTGCCATCAGATGAGGTAGTGGGGAATTCAGAACAAGGCTGGAGAGGGGAAGGAGCTGCTAGAGAAAGTCAAGGGAAGAAGGCTGAGGGCTCCAAAGTTGGGCATCAGCATCAGCTAGCACTGCCTCCCTCATCAGGAAGTAAGGGAGTGTACAGGGCTCCCCATCCAAGGAGGGAGATGGCAGGAGCCCAGGAAGTGGCATACAGTGAAGACACCTGGACAGAGGAGCCCTTGGATGAGGTAAGTCGTTGGCTCAGGAAGCCATATGTACAGATGGGAGGAGTTCTGAGCTAGATAGAAACTGGCAGTCCCCAGGGACAGGGTCCTGTCCCATCCCTCTACCCTCACCCTGTGATGGACCATAAGCAGATCTAACATCTCAGAGTCCAGCTTGCTACCTTGTTCAATAAGACATCAGTTCCCAGTGATTCCAGTCTTTTCCTGGCTGGGCAGCAGGATGGGCATAGGCATGGCTCCTTCCTCCATGCTTCTCTACTTCTTCCAGAGAACAGCACAGACAATAGAAGAGGCTCTGCCTTCAAAACATCAGGGTGAGGCTGGGGCTAGGGCTGCATCCTCAGCCTCAATCTCTGCTCCACTACCTTGAGAGCTGAAAGCTCCTGACAGATACCAGGGACTCCACTAGGTAACCACCTTTTGTCCTCAGCCTCAGCAGCCTGTTCTCAAGAAGCCATGGTTCCCCTGGGCTCACAAGGGATGTGGCCACCTCAGCCCCTCTCCATCCTTCTGCTCCTAAGCCCACAGCCCAGACTTCCCTTCCTCTCCAAGCGGAGCAGCCCAAGCTGGGGAGGCTATTTCCCAATGGGATTCTTTGGGCACAGAAAGTAGTAGGTGACTGAGCTTGGTACAGAGGCCACAGATATATGACAGTGGGTTTGTCAAAATAAAAACAGAACTACTAACCTCAAGTCTGTTCAGTGCAGATTTATTGAAGCCTGTTACTGGCCAGATGTGACACTGGTGCTACATTAATTACATGGTCCTGGGACTCACAGCTGTCTGTCTGAGGGGTTGACAGTTGAGTATTTTCACCTACCTCGAGGAGAACAGACAGCTCGTTTCTCCTACCTGCCATTTTGACACACTGTCTCGCCCACAGTTCCACCCCTCAGTCAGCTAAGGCACCCTGACTAAGTCCTAAAGGTGTCTGGGTCCCATTTCTGACTCAGAAACTACAGATGGCCCTTTCCATGCAGGTGGGCTTTGCACTCTGTGGAAGCCGCCACCCTGATAGGCTGGAGCAGGCCAGGTTAATAGTGGCTGGGTGATGGTGGTCTGAGATGTCTGCAAGAAGCTGCTGGGCAGAGAGGCTGTTGAGAGTGAGTAAAGTTTCCTGGGCTAAATCCCAGCAGCTGAACACCACTTGAAGGATACAAAACCCCATCATTGCTCTTCTCTTACTGTGATGGATGAGGTAGCTCTTCTCTTCAGAAGAGATGAGGAAGCTGGGCTCAAAGAGGGCAAGTGCTGGTCTGTATCTGCTCACTGCCTGCGCCTCATGGCCCAGGGGCTTCCTGGAGACAGCAGAGGTGGAGGTGGGGTCGGTCCATTCAAAGGGTAGATGGTTGCCCCTGGGTCTTGCTCACTGAGCTGGTAATGCAGAGTGTAATTCCTGTCACAGTGAGCACCATGCCAGCAACTTCTCCTGGAAAAATGGGTAGGTACCAAGGGGCTTTGAGCCCAGCCATGCCAGTAGCAGGAGCTGGTACAAGAAGCACTCACGTGGGGCCTGTCTCTGATTCACCCCCAGCCTTTGTCCCCAGACTCTCACCCATGGGAGATGGAAGATTCTCTAACCCAGGTATATCGAGACCCAAGCAGCTGCTTCTTGCATTCACAGTAGCCTGACTTACGTTTTCCACCAACATCTTCTCCAAGGAGCTTCCCAACAATCAACGTGAAGACAATGGCCAGAGAGTTACAGATGGGCACAGCCAGAGTCAGATCTGGTGGTCAGAATGAGAAGAACCCTGAGATGCAAAAAATGCCTTTCTAAGTACAAAACATTTTCATTTCATCCCTTCAGAAAAGGTATCATGACCCCATTTTCTAGATGTGACAGCAAAGCTCAGGACTGAAACCCAGGTCTCCTGACTCAAGTTCGGTGCTTCCACAGGATTTCGGCATGAAGACCTGAACACGAGGTCTGGGACCTTCTTGGTGTGATAGTAAGAATGAGGTCTTTGGACTCTGTGAGAACTCCTAAGATTTCAAGGATATCTGGACAGATAGGCAGGCATCCCAAGCTCAAAGGATGCAGCAGAAGGAGTGTAACAATGCAAGCACAGCCATTTATTCAGTACATACTGGGTACCAGGTGCTTTATATACATATTTAATTTTCACAACAAAATTTCAAGGAGACTGTAAAGGAAATAAAGACTAAAAAAATCCCATAACTTTGGGCAAATTGAGGGGTGGGGGGGGGCAGGTACCGGAAATTGAACTCAAGACCTTGTGCTTGCCAGGCAGGCAAGGCCTCGCTGAGCTAAATCCCTAGCCCTGAAACTCAGGGTTTAAACCAAGGTCTGGTTGGGCATGGTGGTGCACGCCTTTAATCTCTATACTTGGGAGGCTGAGGAAAGAGTTGCCATGAGTTTGAGGCCACCCTAGGTGACACAGTGAGTTCAAGGCCAGCCTGAACTACATAGCAAGACCCTGTTTCAAAAAACAAACAGCACCAGGAATTTAGCTCAGTGGCACCACGCCTGCCTGCCGAAAGCCCAAAGTTCATCCCTGGTACCAAAATAAAACAACAAAACACCCCACCAAGGTCTTTCTCACTCTAAAGCCTATTCCCTTACTCAACTGATTGGATATGAACAAAGCAGAACATCAGGTAAAAGATATTTTGTTTCTATCTCAGCTCAGGTTCTGACCTTATGCAGTTAAAGAGAAGAGAAATAAAAATGTCCAAAGTAGGAGGGTAGGTACCTGTTCAAGAATTAGGGGTGGGCCTCAAGTACAGGTCACCAAGGCCCAGGATCTATCTGCTTCTTAGTTCTAGAGCTGCCAGGGGCTGATTTTTCAATATGCAAACTAAAAGAAATGGGACTAATGGCATTAACAACACAGTACTGGGGATGGAGTGGAGGAATTAAAAAAAACAACATAGTTGTATACTTTGATTTGTCAAGGATGGGCATGGTGGCACATGTCTGTAATCTCAGAACTCTGGGGGGCAGAGGCTGAGGCAGGAGGATCACAAGTTTGAGCCCAGCCAGGGAAAATTAGCAAGACCTTGTCTCAAATCTTTAAAAAGAGGGCTGGGGATTTAGCTCAGTGGTTCTGGTGCCTGCCTTGCAACCACAAGGTCCTGAGTTCGATCTCCGGTACCAAAAAAAAAATTTTTTAAGGGATAGGAGGGCCAGGGATTTAGCTCAGTGGCACTGTGCCTGCCTTGCAAGCATAAGGTCCTGAGTTTGATCCCTGGTACTGGAAAAACTATAAATAAATAAATAAATAAAAAAGGGATAGGGATGTTGCTCAGTGTGAAAGTCCTGGGTTCATTCAATACCCAGTACTAAAAAAAAAAAAAATGCTACTAGGGCCGGGGATTTAGCTCAGTGGTGCCATCGCCTGGCTGGAAAGCTCAAGGTCCTGAGTTCGATGGCCGGTACACACACCCACCCCCCCCACCCCAGTGCTGTTTATCTGTAATGAGACTTGTAACTACGGGCAGACTGACATGCTCTCAGGCCTTCCCTGCTGTGGTAGAGAAGGAGGGAATGGTTTTATTCTTCATCCCCTATGTACCTCCAGCATGGCTGCCATTACCCATCCAAAATAATGACACAACACTCCTACCTACTCAGAGCAGTTTTCTTTTGTTTTTCTTTTTTTTTGGTGCTGGGGATTGAACTTGGGTCCTTGCACTTGTGCAGCAGGCAGCAAAACCACTGAGCTAAATCCCTGGCCCTAAGAGCAGTTTTCTTAACTTCGTACCTTTCATGGAATGTTGTGGCTGCTAAGGACTGGTTTGCAACAGCAGATGGGGGAGCAAAGAGCAGGGTGGAATGGAAGAGCACAGCATTGTTTTCCTCGTGTAATTGTGGTTAAATCATTCAAACCCACTGAGCCTGTTTCGGCACACGTAAAACAATGATAGCAACCTAACACCTCCTTGTAGGGGTATTGTGCGGTGAACTATGATAATATATAAATAGTCCTTTGGTTAAAATAGATGCTTAATAAACAGTAAATACTTTATTAGAAAAAATGGATATTGCCTCGCAAGCACAGGGTCCCAAGTTCGATCCCCAGTACCAAAAAAAGAGAAAAGAAAAGAAAAGATGGATATTAAAGGACAGAGATAGAGTAGGTGATAACAGGGTCCAAACAGTGCAATTTTCTCAAAACTTGGTAATTGGCTTGCTACAGTGAATTCATTAGGCCAGAGGCTTTCGAACTTCTTTTCTAGTAGTACTGAAGATTGACCCTAGAGGCTCATATGTGCCAGGCACTGAGCTACATCTTCAGCCCTTTCTTTTATTTTAAGAAGGGTCTCACTAAGTTGCTAGGCTGGCCTCAAACTTTGGATTCTCCTTCCTTGACTTCCTGAATAGCTGGGATTACAGGCATGTGTCACCACACTCAGCCTCAAATTCTTTATAGTCTTAAGCTCCAAATGTAAATCATATGAAAGCAGAGACTTTAGTTGAAACTAAGGTGGCAGATCTGGAGGCCATCTTGTCCCCTTCTGAGCTGTTCCCCAGAGCCATCTGGAGACCAAACTTCCATCAGGTCCCCTGGGGGTCTTGATTACAGGGGAGACAAAACCAGTAGGGGAACTTTCATAGTAAAGTTTAAGAGCATAAGCTTTTTTTGGTTTTTATTTTTAATTTTTCTTTGAGGCAGTCTCACTGTGTAGCCCAGGCTGGCCTCAAATTGGCAGGGATCCTCTTGCCTCAGCCTCCTGAGTGCTGGGATTACAGGTGTGCACCACCATACCCAGCTCAAGAGCATAAATTTAAAAATCCGTTTGTACTGACTCAAGAGAGATGAAGTGAAATTTTCTAAGTTTATTTCCTTTTGTGTGTGTCTGTGTGTGTGTGTGTGTGTGTGTTACTGGGGACTAAACTCAGGGTCTACACATTGAGCTACATCTCCAGCTCTTTTTATTCTTTGAGTCAGGGTCTTAGTAAGTCCCTATGTTGCCCAGGCTGGGCTCCAACCTTCAATCCTCCTGCCTCAGCCTCCTGAGTGCTGGGATTATAGGCTTCTGTGTCTGTGAATTAATCTCTTAAATGAAGATAATCATCTATGCTTCACAGGGTCATGATGGGAATTAAAATATGTGACACTTGCACAGTATCTGATGAAGTTGAGGACAGTTGACACACATGGAGAGGAAAAAATGTGGGGAGAAAGGAAATTTATAGAATTCCTACTGTGTTCCAGGTACTCTGCTAGATGCATCTCATATATTCCATTTAATCTTTACAATCCCACAAAACTGACTCTATAAAACCAAAGTTCAAAGAATGGGTTTGCTCTAGGTCAGTTAGGTAGCACACAATGTAAGCTAAAGTATCAAAACCAGCACTTTGTGCAGTGAAATGAGTCTTTGCTGCTGCACAAGACTGCCAGATTCGAGGCCAGCCTGGCATCATACTCATAACCTGCCCAGTGTCTCCTTGTGACTCAGAAAAGGAGGTACAAAGAAGGAGCCAGGGCTGTGGATGAGCACCCCACTCAGTAGTACTTATATAGGGTGGACAAGAATCTAGATTTGATTCTTGATCCTCAGCAGGGAAACGGAAAACAAAAAAAACAGAAACAGGGCCACAGGCACGCTCTCTTTCTTACTGACAGGAACAAGGTGTTTCAGGACCCCTCTCCAAAATGAGAGTAGCTTAAAGCCAGAGACCCACCTGTCGATGCCAAGGTGAGGTAGTAGAGAAGGGAGCCACTCTGGTTGAGCAGAAAGGGCATCAGGTACTGGAAACAGGAGAAAAAGGTCAACGTGATTGCTTGACTGAGCAGCACTGCCTTCTTTGAGCTTCAAGCATATGTCTTTCTTTGGAGGGAAGGAGAGTTGTAAGTGCTTAGGGAACACTAAGCCCTCTGAGGAAGACCCTGGGAAACAGACTGAAGACCATACCTTGCCTTAAATGCCCTCTCTCTCTCAACTCTGCTAGTTCCCACCCTTCCTATTTTTTCTTTTTTTTTTTTTGGTACTGGGGATCGAACTTGGGTCCTTGCACTTGCGCAGCAGGCAGCGAAACCACTGAGCTAAATCCTCGGCCCCCTGCCCTTCCTATTCTATAAAGCCTTGAAAGCCAGTGCCAATGTCATCCCTCCAAGCCCACCCAAGTCCCCTAGCTCCAGCCTGCCTCTACTGAACTCACACAGCACTTATCTGTCCCTCTTTCCTTACCTTTAACCCTGGGAAGTAGCTTCGTCCATGTATGGCCTTTCCCACTAGCCTCAACTGGCGGAATTTGGATCAAAGGCAGTTGTCTTCCTCTAGAAAGGCCCTGAGCTCAGTACAGTAGTTACCTTATCTAATTGGAGGTATCACAATACTAAAGTATTAAAAGTAGCCATAGATGCAGACTTATGATCAACTAGTTCACTAGGCCCAATGGTAAGTGCTTTATGTGCTTCACCATACTTAATTCTCATAATTGCCCTTTTTTTTTGAGATAGGGTTTCACTGTGGAGTTCAGGCTGGCCTTGAGTTTACTGTCACCCAGGCTGACCTTGAACTCTCAGTGATCCTCCTGCCTCAGCCTCCCAAGTGCTGGGATTACAGGTGCATTGCCATCACGCCTGGCTCTTCATAAATGCCTTATAATAAGGTTATAATTGTAATTCCTATTTTACAGAGGACGAAACCGAGGCTCCCACAGGATTGTCTCATTCCTTTCAGTAAGTTCTGACCCAGACCTATTTGACTCCAGAGAACAAATGCTTAGCGGCTACTCCTCTGAGGGAGGCCGTTCACAGACGCACCTCAGTATTCAAGAAAAGGGTCTTCATCTCCTGCAGCAACTGTCGGGCCCAGGTCCGCTCCTGAACCTGCTGCAGGCCAGAGGAGGCCCGCTTCAGCAGCGGCTGCGTGCCACCCCACAAGGCGGCTACCAGCACCAGGGCCAGCACTTGCCCTGAATACAGAGAGGGAGATTTGAGTCACCCTGACCCCCAACCTCAAACGGCCGCCCACCCGGCCTCGCCCTCCTCTGGCCTGATATCCCCAGCTACCCGCTCGCTCTCCGACCGACGTCCCCGCTGCCCATGGCGGGGAGGACAGGCCTTGGGAGGTTGGGGAGATGAATCCAGGAGCCTGGGTTTTAGGGGGAGGAAGGAGAGTAGGAAACGAACTCCGGGTAAGAGTCAGAAGTCAGAGGAGGGGCGGGGCTGGCTACCCACCCAGAGACGCCGCCATGGCAACACCACCCTTCTTCTTCCGGGAACGAGGGGGAGGATCCTATGAACCAAACCGGAAGTGGCCTGAAAGTCTTTTCCGGTTCCACTCACGTTGCCACTCTTCGAGTGTCATCGCCGGGATGGTGAGTTCCAGAGTTGTGGGTATTGTGGTAGGGGTCCCCGGACTCAGCAGGGGCCTAGTTCCGAACACTGACACTCCTATCCTGTTCCCCACAGAAGCCGATACTGCTGCAAGGCCATGAGCGGTCCATTACGCAGATTAAGTATAACCGCGAGGGAGACCTCCTCTTCACCGTGGCCAAAGACCCTGTGAGCTTCGGCAAGAGGGCGGCGGGACAGACGGAGGGGGCGCGGGAAGGGCAGGTGCATTCTTCCAGGACCGTGGGTGGTACAAGCCAGTTTTGCTCCCTGAGGGGAAGCTAAGAATGCCCCACTTTGAAAAGTTGGGAAAGGCTATCCCGAGGGTAGGACGGCGAGAGAGTTCTATCCATTAAAGGTGGGAATAACTCCATTGTTGGTAGGAGGAGTAGCTGGGGAGGAACAAAACAAGAGACTGCGGTGGAAAGGGGTTAGGCCCGAAGGTTGGCTCTTTCAGGTGACCAAGGCCGATTCCTAAGAACTAAAGCATTCTACCAGGATAGGAGAACAGACCACTTGTAGTAGGACAAAGCTGACCTATAGGCAGCAGACTGTGCCATTAAGACCTAGGGGAGAGGCTGGAGGTGTAGCCCAGAGGTGGAGTTTGTGCTTAGCGTGCTTGAGTCCCTGGGTTCAATCCCCGGCTTCAAAAGGACAAAAAAGAGAGCCGGGCATTTAGCTCAGTGGTTCCACCGCCTGCCTCGAAAGTTCAAGGTCTGAGTTTGATCCCTGGTACCGGGGGGGGGCGGGGACGGGACACGGAGAGAAAAAGATACAGGGGACTTAATGAGGGTCTGGCCAGTCTCAATCCAGCCTCTCATCCTGTCATAAGCACACAGTCCCTCATAATACAGCCTTCTTTTTTTTTTTTTTTTTTTTGAGACAGGGTCTCATTATGTAGCCCAGGCTGGCTTCGAACGCAGTGATTCTCCTGCCTCTCCCTCTGAGTGCTGGGACTACATGCGTGTGCCACCACTCCTGGCTCTGGTACAGCCTTTTGAGGCACCTGCATGTGGAGGCTGTTAACTAGTGATTAAGAGTGGGGACTCTGAAGTCAAACAGACTTGATTTGATTCCTCTCTCCAGCATCTACTAGTCATGTGGCTTGGAGCATGTCATTTAACCTTTTTTTAGTTGTTTCCCAGTTGATAAAGTATCCACCCAGGAGAGTAATAGTTATAGTATGCCCCTTAACAAGATGAGATAGTTTTTTGTACGGAGCTTAGCACAGTATCTGCTATATGAGTGCCTAATTACGGTCAGTCACTTATATTTTAAATTCCTTAGATATAATTTTGTTGGAGCCTCACACCTACCCTTTGAAGGACTTACCATCTTGGCCATTTTTGTTGTTACAGTGCCGGGTATTGAACCCAGGGACTCATATGTGGAGGGCATGTGCCCTACCTCTGAGCTACATCTCCAGCCCACATGTGTTGGCCATTTTAAAAATGAGAAAGTTGGGCTGGGGATTAAGTTTAGTGGTTCCAGCACCTGCCTCAAAAGCGCAAGGTCCCGAGTTCAATCCCTGGTACCAAAATAAAACAACAAAACACCC